CTGAAAGCAAGACTCTTGGAAAGACAAAGGCTGGACACACTTCTGAAAAAAACGAAATTATGTTTAGCTGTTTGTCATTTTCTGTTAAATAAATTCTTTTTTTTTGACACTAACCAATTAATGATCTAATGCTTTTTGACCTGAAATTAAATAAATGAAGAGGGTCTATGAAAGTAAATTAAATATATTAAATGCAAATTAAATAAAAGCATGAAAGTAAAGCCATCAACAGTGTTAGCATAACATATTTACTGCCAATGTCATAATAGTTAGAAACAATGAATCATAAAGGAGTCATACCTGAGGGGTCCCCGGTTTGGTAGCATATCAAAAGAAAACAATGTCTCTCCTTTTCGTCCATTTTTATTTTTCTGCATCATGTCAACACACCAGCTGTCCTATATTGTGTGAAAATTCCATGATGAATGGACCGATAGAAATGCTCTCACTTGGAATAAAACCTCCTACATTAACTTACAGTGAAAGGTAAGTGTTTTTGCTTCTCCTGTGAAATGTTATCATTTTGTAGATGCTTGTTTTTCTTTGGACAGTGATGATATGCAGCTTACAGCTAGAAAAGCCCTGACTGAGCAGCTATAGTGCAGCATTAACACCCACAGTGCTGACGGTTCACTGAATCCTCTCGAGTTTGTTGTGTTTTTGCAGCCAAAATAACTAAAAGTGTCCTGATGTGTTTGAGAGAGAAGCTATTTACAGGCAACCTGGGCTGCTGTGTTGTGTGTGATGGTGATAAAGGGAGGCTGTGGTGTTCATGCAGAGTGTGTGTTGCTCCTGTACAGTGAAAACACATTCCCACTCCCACTGCTCTTTGTCTGGAAGCAGCAGCTTCAGTTTAAACCGACAGAGCAGACAGAACTGTGGATTAATGAAGCATGGCACACACTGTTTGTGATGGACGGCTACGCTCTCTCTCTCTCTTTTGTTTTTGTTTTGCTTGGACATCTGTGGCTGCTCAAGCAGGAAAAATATTGTGAAAAAATAGTGAGAAAAATTAGTGAGAAAATTGTCCCTGGCTTTGAGAGGATGACTGGATCTGAAACAGCAGTGTGAAGATCACTTGGTGATGAAATGTGTTTTGGTTTGTGTTGCTAAAAGGTGTTTTTGTGCTGCTTTTTATTTCTTTCAAAAAGCTGTTCAATCTTGATTTGTTCAATTATTATAAATATTATGAATATTTCTATCATTAAATAACACACATTTTTCAGAATATATTTCAAACATTTCCAACATGTTTCATTTTACTTTTTTATTCTCTTTAATGATTTTAACAATTGCAGAACATCACACAGGACAGAAAAAAAAATTTGATTAAATTTAAAAATACTAAAGTTCAATTAATTGTAGCTAATTTTATCTAAAACTGCTTTGGGAAAATAAAAAAAAATCTGATTTCATTGAAAGAGCTCAGCATTAAATATTAACTTAATCCCCTTCATATCAGCAATTCATAATAAATATCAGTAGAATTTATGCTCAAATTAATTGAGCTGGTTGGTGCAGAAGCTTAAATTAAGAGGTATTTAATGAATGATGTGTTTGAAACTTTCTATTTCAAATTTGTCCAAATATTTAAAATATATTTGAACAAAAATATAATTAATTTAATATTTTTAAAGCTTTAATAAAGTGAGTGTACATGTGATTACACTGGGTGATGAACAACCCAAATTTCATTAGAAGAGTTGTGTGTTTTGTTTATGTATTTATTTATTTGTTTATTTTTTGTGTTGTGCTGTGGGCTGGTGTTTGTGTGCAGGTGGGCTTTAGGACAAAATTAAATCTATAAATACAAGCATCAAATAATCAGAGTTTCAGTGGAGAGAGAGAGAGAGAGAGAGGAGAGAGAGAGAGAGAGAAATAATTTTTTTTTATTTTATTTTATTTTATTTTAAATTTATTTTTTGTTTCTCTGCCTTTCTCTGTTTGTTTGCCTCACACATAATTATATGACCAGGTTTATCAAACTGAAGTTTGAGTCTGTGCACTGTGGCTGCTGCAGCTGTGTGACTGTCACAGATAAACAGTACGAAGCTCTTTAAACTAGTTCTCCTAAACTAAAGCCAAACAAAATCACTTATTCGCCCTGTTTTTATTAAACCAGGCTGACCTGCTGGGCTCCTCTGGTGTTTGCTGTGCTCTACATGGTTTTGTAAATGAAACCAGTAAAGCTCTAAAACTTTAACTTTAGTTTAGTTTAAAGTTTTGGGCTCCTCTCTCTTGGTGGGCGTGTCCTCGCAGCGCCTTAATTACGAACATCCGGGAAACCGGAGCGGCGCGTGACGTCACGGCCCCGCGAAAAGTATATAAATAAATAATGAGGCTGCAGGCACGTGCTGCTGGTGGGGAGCACGTTGGGAGCCGCGCGCCGGAGTTGCAGTGAATTATCTTCATGACTGCTGTTATTATTGTTATTATTATTATTATTTCTTAGCGTTTTATTTTTCTCTCCCTTTCCGTTTGTTGGCAGAAAGAGAGAGAGAGAGAGAGAGAGAGAGAGAGAGAGAGAGAGAGAGAGAGAGACAGACAGAGAGAGGGGAATTTATATAAATATATTTTTATTTATTTTTTATTTTTATTTTTCTTAAAAAATCTTTCATCGTGTAGTTGAAGCAGACAGTGAGTCACGTGTTTCTGAGAGAAAAAATGAAAATATTAAAATAAATTAAATAAAAAAGGCAGAATTATTTTGACCGCGTTAAGAATGTTTTTAAGGTGTGACGGTGATGTCCGCTTTGAAAACGACTCAGAGAGAGAGAGATGATTCAAAGAGAGAGAGAGAGAAATAAAAAAGAAGAAAAAAACGCGACGTGTATTTCTGAACAATGTCTCTCGTATAAATGTTAATAACGCTGCTGGTGATGTTATTAATGTGTAATAAACGTGTTTAATCGGCTGATTCCGTCTCACTGAAGTTTATAACGAGGTGCAGCGCTGCATGACGTGTATTAACTCTAATAAACTCTCAATAGGGGCTTATTAACGCTTTATTATGGCGTTTTAATAGCGCATTAGGAAAAAAAGGAAGGCGCGCGCTCCCCAGAGCTTCTGATGGTGATAATGATGATGATGATGATGATGGTGATGATAGTGATGGTGATTTCCCTTCCTGCTGGTGTCAGGCTGAAAGTCTCTGTATGATTCATGCTGTGAGTCAGAGCTCAGCGCACATGCACCCGTCTTCTCTGTCCGCGCGACTTTAACCGCTTCTTTAATGAAAGCAAATTAAAAACACTCATTCACGCTTTCTCAGATGTGTTCGGCTCAAAATAGACTTCGCATATTTTTTTCCCTTGTTTTTCTGATCGTGAATTTCATCAGTCATGTGACCGCGGCTGCGCCCGGCCGTTGTGAGTTTGCGTCGTTTTACGAAACTAAAATGCGTCTTGCGCCATTTTTATCGCACGAGCGTTTCCTCACAGAGAGACTTTCCTCTCAGTCCACTCAGCTCCACACCTCTCATCTGCCGGCTTTCGTTTGGCCAACGAGCACAAAGTATTCCGTAATAATGAACACGAGCACTCCTCCTCTTCAGCTCCTCCTCATCATCATCATCAGGTGGTTGTTGCTTGCTGAGGTGTTGCTCTTCAAGTCTGCCCAGTAACAAAGCCAGAGCTGCAGCACCAGCCCTATTGGCTGCTTCAATTATGACAAGGGGAGGAAGCAATCTAGACTAGAAGAAAAAAAGATCCTTTAAAGAGACATTCCTGTTACTTTTAACAGCCGCGTAAATGGCTGACTTTAACTTTCTGACACTCGGAGCTCGGGCGTGTCTCCTAATAAGGGCTCGCTGCTTTTTACGTTTGAGTTATAACTGTCATTCTTTTTTCTTTTCGGGGTCAGTTAAGCTGTAACTGCAGCTGAGTGCACTCTCAGAAAAAAAAGAGGTACTAAACTGTCACTGGGGTGGTACCCCTTGGTAAGGGTGCATCTCAGTACCTTTAGTCAGGGAACATAACTGTACCATAATCCATTGAAGTGATATTTTCTGTATTAAGTTATATAGACACCACACACCGTCTGACTCCAGCCTTTTTATGTTTTCTTCTGTTTTAAAACATTAGTTTATGAAAAGATACAAATATCTACTTTACACCCAGGAAAAACTTACTTAAGGTACATTTCAGGACCTTAAAACCACCGTTGTACCTTTAAGGGCACATTTACATTGTTTGTACCTTGGTGAAGAAACAGTGTACCTTCTTTATTACAGTGTGAGAGTGGAATATCATCTGGAATCGTATGTATTGCGTGTGTTAATCCAAGAATGGTGAAAGTGCGTCCCGTCGGAGAGCCTTCAGTAGCGTTTTCGAGCTGCAGTGGCATCACACTTATCTGAAGCCTTGCCACAGACTTCATGCATGCATTTCCTAGAAAGTTATCATCTCACCACAAGCGTCGCAGCACAATATGGGCTATAAAAGGCAGCTTTACACCGAGACGTTGCAGTGGGGGGGTGGGGAAGGGGGGTTAATGCGATTCAGAAAGGACCCTTTATCTCTTTGCAGTGACTTTTAATTTGCTCCAGACAGATGATGTGCTATTATTATAATAGGAAACAAATTTTCTCTTTTTTTTCTCCATTTTGTGGAGACATGACCATAATTCTGCTCTGCTTTTGTGCCTGGGGGGGCTGTCGGGGTGGTCGTCTATGATCAATACAGAGCCAAAATCTGATACATGTTATGTATCCTAATATAGAACCTGGCTTATGTATTATACACAGAGAAACTGTGATGTGCTCTTCTGACTGGGGGAGAAACACACTGGAAGTGCAGTCATTCATTCTGAATGAGGAGCAGGAATATGAACCATTATTTTAATGCCAACATTTCAATACGTTTTCATTCTAGTTGTATTATAGTTGAGCTATTTTTCACTTATTTAATTGCTTGTGCAACAGTTTTGCGCTCGTGAGTGAGAGGAGGGGCATGGGTGTGCGCGTGGGTGGGACTGATCAGGCTTGATCACAGTGGTGGTCGCCATTGTCATCAATAATAATACTATATATATATAAGAGTGGATGGATGAGCAGTGTTTGTTTGTTTGTTGTTGTTGTTGTTGCCTTTTAACAGTACGAAGTGTAGAGTGACGAACGCGCTCACGTTGGCTGCTAATGAGATGTGCTGACGTCACAGCTTGTGGGCAGGAGGAAAGAGAGAGAGAGAGAGAGTGAGAGAGAGAGAGAGAGCAGAGCAGCCAGCAGGGGGAAAGAAGAGGCACCAGGCGCACACAGGGAGAGAAAAAGTTGGCGAAAAGGAGCTGGAGCTGGAGCAGCTCGCGCTGTGACTCGGTTTCTATGCGCGAGGAGCGTTCTGGGGAGGCTTCGAGCTTCGTGCCGGAGTAGGAGCGACCCGAGGAGACGAGAAAGAGAGAGAGAGAGCGAGAGAGAGAGAGAGAGAGAGAGAGAGAGAGGAGAGGAGAGAGTGGAGAGAGACAGACACACACAGAGATGGAGCTGTACTGCCTCGAGGCAGACTCTGTGATCAGAGCCCGTCCAGACCCGAACCTGCTGGCCGACGACAGGGTCCTGCAGAGCCTGCTGACCATCGAGGAGCGCTTTCTGCCCCAGTGCTCGTACTTCAAATGCGTGCAGAAGGACATCCAGCCCTTCATGCGGAGGATGGTGGCCACCTGGATGCTGGAGGTTTGGCCACTTTCGAGCCTCTAGACGCGTTTATGTCATGTTTGTTGTGCGTGTCCGGCGTGTCCGAGGCCGCGTGCCTCGCGCGGCGTGTCCGTGGGGGGCGATTTAGAGCCGCCGCGTTTCGTTTTAACAGCCTTTTTTCTAATATTGGACCCACTTCACGTTCGTGTACGCGTCTGTGTGTGCGTGCGCGCGAGTGACATTTGGAGAAGTTTCTCGATTGTAAAAAAAAACACAGACAGATACAAACTAAAAAAAAGCACCGAGCGTGCGGGGAGCGCGTGCACGTCGAAGGGGGTCTCTCGTGCTCCCCGTTGCCCTCTCTGATGTGATTTTGCCCCGGGATTTTCTGCCCCTGCACACGTATGCAGAGCCGCTCGCGCCCCTCTCTGACAACGCCATGTTGGTTTTTCACACCCGTGCTCGCTGCGGCGCTCGCGCAGGAATAACAGCGCGAGCCCTTGGCGAAAAAGGCACGCGAGGGTCCGGAGGGGCGAGTTCGAGGGGCGAGACGGTGGGCCAGGGACAGAAATGTGGGGCTTAAATGGCCTCCGGAGGGCGAGCGCGCGGAAGGGGCGGAAGGGCGAGGGCCGCGGCGCGAGGCGGCCGCGCGGGGATCAAAGCTCGTTTCCGATCGAGCCGTGATCGATAGGCGATCGGTCACGGGCCCACGCGGTAGTGCGGACCCCGGGCTTTATTTTGGTGCGTTGATCGCGCGCCTGAGCCCGAGCTGCGAATTTGTAGAAATTTTTGAAGGCGCGCGGCGCGGCGCGGGGCGGAGAGAGCGGCCGCCACCGACACGCAAAACTCAGTTTTAACACGGATAAACCTCGACTTTTGCGTCGTGACAATTGTCGGGAAAGATGCGGGAGAGTGCGCTGAACATTTTCATGTGCGAATCGCGCGCGGGGACAATTTATTTCTATTTTTAAATATTTTATGAAAATATGACGAATTAAAAAAAGCCCCGTGTTCCGGAGCCGACTGCGCTGCTGCTGCATGGGTGTTTTTTCTTTTTCTTTTTTTCTTTCTTTCTCTCTTTTTTCTTTTTCTTTGGCTCGAGCTGATTGGGACTCGAATTCGTTTCTTATTGAATGAGGGAGCGGATGGATGTAAAGAGGTGAAGCGGTAAAGATGTTTATGCTCTGTAAAGCAGAGAGGGAGGCAGGAGAGAGCAGACTCGATCGATTCGTCCGCGCTCCGATGACTTTTAACGATTCGATTCTTCGAGATTATCCCTGCCCGACTCTGTTCGGTTCGATTCGTTCCCCACCGATTCGTGCTGCTTTATAAATGGACCCAGATGACAATCAACCTCCCTCCCTCCCCCCTCCCTCCCTCCTGCTGTCCCTCCTGCAGGTCTGTGAGGAGCAGAAGTGCGAGGAGGAGGTCTTCCCTCTGGCCATGAACTACCTGGATCGTTTCCTGTCTGTGGTTCCGACCCGAAAGTGTCACCTGCAGCTGCTGGGCGCCGTCTGCATGTTTCTGGCCTCCAAGCTAAAGGAGACTCGGCCGCTCACTGCGGAAAAGCTCTGCATCTACACCGACAACTCCATCAGACCACAGGAGCTGCTGGTAGGACGCACCACACACTGCTGCCTCACGTGCTGGATCGTGATGGTCAGCGTCCGATTTCGGGCCACTCAGAAATGTTTCAGTGGCTGCTTGAACATCAGATTCACTTTTATTGTTTTATATTATTTTTATGTTATTAATGTGTTATTATCATTGTATTAATTTGGTATGGCAGTATATTTACATTAATATAATAGAAAAAAAATGTTTATATTAACCAAAATCATTCTAATAATTATAACAACAGTAATAATAATAATTATTATTATATTTGTTGTTATTATTATTACTGTTATTTCCAGTAAATGCTATGTTATTACTCCTTTTCTAAGCAATATTCTTATATTAGATAAAGATAAACCCTTTAACGTAATTACATTTGTATTATTTTTCATATTTTAATTACTCAATCAATTTATTTGCTATAGCAACAAACATTACCAAAAACAAACATTATTATCGTGTCTGTCTTGAATGTTTTGTATCAGCCCTTATTACACAATCAAAGATGAACTAAGAGAGCTGTCGTGCCATCTGATGGAATATTTTGGCTACAGCTCTGAGTTTATGGCAGCAGTGAAAGAGTTGAAATGCAAATGGAGGGGCTTTACTGAGGGAGATGGGTGGTGGTGGGGGCTGTGGCGGATGGTAGATGCTGTGCAGGGTGAGCAGTGAGCTGCAGGGGCTGATCTTCTGCACATGCTCCAGCACGAGCCACCCATGGGCTTCCATCACCATCTAGTGGCAAATATGCGATTCCGCTGTGCAGCAGCGCCGCACCAAGCTGGGAAAGGGGTGTCTGGTTTTCCAGTTCCGGCTTTGTAGCACAGAGAGAGAGAGAAAGAGAAAGAGAAAGAGAGAGAGAGTCATTTTATTAAAGTCGGTCATTTATAATGCTGAATGAGACGAGGACGTTTATATCCTTGTATCCTGCGTTTGTGCCCTGGAAGGGTTGTGATCATCACTTGACGAAGAAGAATCCTTGTTTATTCTGTAGCTGAACTTTCTGACAATCATTTAAAGGGGAGTTCCACCAATTTTGCAAATTTTCTGCAGGCTTAAAAGTTTAAGATGTAAACAAATCATTCAGAGTGGTTTGATGTGAAGTCAGAATTGTTGACAGTGGTGGTGATAGGAACCAGACGTCCGAAGAGTTTTAATGCCTCTAAAAAAAGTTATTACATGAGAGGGTGATGAGTGCCCTGCTTGATGCCTCAGACAAGTCTTGAGAAGGTTTTGGTCTCCAAACAAGTATCTTTAAGGAATTCAGGGCATCGTAAGGGAAAGAAAACACACTTTCATAATTTACCACTATGTTACGATTATCACCATGATCAAGCTCAGAAGACACGTGTAGATTCACTGGTCATTTTGGATAGTAAGTGAAAGAGACTATATTTGCGTCAGACATTGCGACCCCTGGTTCCCAGAATGACCACTGTAAAGAAATCAGTCAGCAAGATTTTCCGCGGTGAACCACTTCACATTGAATCACTTTCATCATCTCAGGGCTTGAAATTTCATGCAGAAATTTCATAAAAATTGGTGGACTTCCCCTTTAACCCTTGGCTTTTCTTTAGTTCCTTTGGATTGCTTTGTGTATAGAGATCTGTTGACACCTGTTCAAGTCTGTACACCCTTAAAAACATAAAGATCTTTGGAGCGATGCCCTAGAAGAACCACTTTTGGGTTCCATAAAGAACCTTTCATTTGGGTGCTATCAAGTTGAAAAGGAGTTCAGGGACTCAAAAGGTGGTCTTCAAAGAACTCCTTTGTTTTTAAGAGTATACATGAACTGTAGGCCTCTGATGGATCATTCAAGGAGAGAAACTATAGAAATGGAGGCAAAATCCAAATGCTATTTCCTCCTCGGCATTATATAAACATTCCTCAGTGAGCGGCCGTTCCCCCGCAGTGTGGTCAAAAGAAGTAAAATATGAATAGGACAGCAGCTTCTCTGCTCTGCTGGAGATCATACAGTGTGTATGCTGTGGCATCAGCAGTCCAGTCTGAGGAGTTGGTCTGCTGTCAGCTCAGCTTGTTTGCGTGTTTGCACTGTTCTTCTCACCTCTGGCTCATCAGTTTCTCTCTCAGTGGCGGAAATGGACGGCGCTTCAGTGGTTCTGGTCAAAGATGACACTACTGAGCTACTGTCCTCAGCAAAAGTGGTGGACCACCTTTTTTTTTCAAACAGCTCGTTTTTGCGTTCTAGGCTGGCGCTGGGCTGCGAAGTGCAGCAGATGCAGGAAACCGGAGATGGGCTGTCACAGTCACATCTTCAATTTTGTCTCCGCTGACTGGTACAAAGTTCTTGTAAATGAAACCTCGCTGGTGGCAGAGGCACTGATGAGAGGAAGTGGGTGCCTAAACTGTGTTGCAAGCGTGCCAGAGTCAGCTCGCAGTTTGGCCTCAATCAGAACAGTGGCATGATAAGGAGCAATAATGCTGATAAAAGACTCTGAAGGTACTGTTTTCTCTGAAGTCTGATGTGTTTGCGCTTTGTGTCTGTTTGGTCTTATAGGTTGTTTCCTTACTCATCTCAAGTATTACGTACTATTTAGTAACTACTACAGGCTATTCGGTAATTACTTTTGCACTAATATGTGGATTATGCGAAATGGATCGTTTCAGCCAAATCTGATTGGCAGCACGTTATCAAATATCATCATGTTCATGCAAATAATAATGACTGTCAGTGGAACACAGTATTAATAGATGTGGCAAGGTGTCAGAGTGTGTATGAGTAAAAGGCTGTACTAAACACCTTCTTACTCAGTTTTATCAAGGGACTGTCCACTTCTTTCCTTAATGACTAGATCTAGGCTGCGAGCTAACCCGCTAACAGGGTCCTAAATTATTTTTCACTGTTAGGCTTTAGAGCTAGAGCTGTTTGCCATAAGCAGTGCACACTGACATTAGCTTGGTGCTAACATAACAGTAAAGTAAGCAGTAATGTAGCGGTTATAATTGGCTAAACAACAGCTAAATATAAAGAGAAGGTTTCTGTGTTAAGGTTACTGCTGTATTATGATTATATTCATAATAATATGATAAACATTGAAAATGTAATGAAATGACTAGACCACACAATGATGGGCTACTGGAAACTCTTATGTCCGGCGAAAAAATAGGTCCTCGTTTAGTGGACCGAGGTTGCTTGACAACCATAGCCCACTCCAAAGGGATCACATTTCTTTAGTTTCTTTACATTTCATCCCTTAACTTACATTGAAAGTCAATAAGTTTTTTCTTTCTTCTGTAAAATTACTTTTTATGAATTTTGTTCCGACAGCAATGATATTATTGTATCGTATGGTGTCACTTTTTAAAAAAACCAACAACTTGAGGTGGTACGTTACAGCACTAATAACACCCCTTAATCATGGTAAAATCACTGTAATGCATGGTCTCTTGTAGTTTATTAGAGTTGGGAATTACAGCGTAGGCCTACATGTGGACATTAATGCTGCGTTTACCTGTTGGCATTTAAAGAAACGTGCCATGCGTCATGGTAGAGTTGGTGTAAACAGCGATGGTGCACAATCACCCTTGCTGTATAGGAATAGGTATGCTTGGACTACAAGGGTTCAGCATCCATGCTCCCAAAAGAACATTCCGGTTGCTCTACTGCTGATGGCAAATGTTGGGAAAAGCAAACTATTGTTGGAACGTTCCGCTGGCCAGTGTGGCACGCTGACATTTTCTGGTCCTCCATTGAAAAACATGGAATATCTGGTTAGCTGTTGTGCATCTACTGTCTTAACGTAAACACAGGAAAATGGTGTAGGGGGGCATTCGTCACATGACTGTAGTGATGCTGAAAGTGAATCGAATTGTTGGTCATCATGAAACTGGCTAATTAGCATATTAGGTCATAGGGAAAGTGATGATACATGCAAATTGGCCAGTCACTTTAGTAGCAGGGTAATGTACACCAACATGGCATCTTGTATGATCTGCACCATGCTAATTTTACCCTAAGTGACTGTTCCAGTGTCAACTGCACTTAGGCTGGTTTTATACAGGCACTCATTTCTGAAATTTTCCTTCATATATCTGATGCAGATCATCTTTGTAGTCTATAATCAGTATAAAAGTCACATGAAACCTCATCTTTACATTCCTATTTCAATCCCATTATTTTTGTAGATGACCACATACTGAGTGCTTGTCTAAACATGCCAGTCTGATCAGATAAAGACCCAAAGTAGGCATTATAGTCTACTGTCTGAAAGCACTCAGAGTTTCTCGTGTGGTTTGGATTGATGCTTCCATTCATATAATCTTAAATATGAAGGTACCAAAAAGGGTTCTTTGGTACAATCCCATAGAAGAACCACTTTCAGTGCCCTGAAGAGCTAGAGCAGTGGTCGCCAACCATGCTCCTGAAGATCCACCTTCCTGAAGACTTCACAAAACGAGAGCATGAAGAACCTTTTTAAAGTTAATACACAGGTTCTGTACTGTACTAATTAAACGTTTTCCCAGAACCAAGTGCCCAAGCCAAGAACTATTTAGGAGCAGTTATTGTACTACACGTCCTGCCTTGTGTTGATGTTGCATTAGCCCGTGTTGTCAGGCTTTTTCTTCTGCTGGACTCCTCAGCGTACCACGCCTACAGCACCTTCCGAAGCCCAAAAATGGAGCGATACTCAATTCTTCCTGAGTGAGACAGTCAGTCCAAGGGCTAGAATGATGCCCCTCTCTAGCCTCTTGCAATGATCTTAGCACTGCAACACGTTTTGGAAATTCTTAGCAGTTCGTCACCCCTAAAAATCTGAGCTCTTGGTGCATGTGGGTGAGTCATTCTTCTGCTGAAACCGAGCACGCAGAGGTGTCAGAGAAATTATGCCAGACGGTTTGCTGTCAACGTGCACTCATTGTACACTCATTCAGAGCTCCACTGCCATTCACCTGCGGTGTCGTCCCGGAACAATCTTTCGGTCAGCTTCACAGAAGAAGTCATCAAGGCTCTGTAAGTCGGTGGATTTAATGGCTACCACATTGGACTGCCTCATGACTAAGTGCATGTGGTTCAATGATGGAGAAAACCATCTCTGTCTGAATGAGCGCACAGTCACAAGGACAGTCCCTGAGAACACAATTTTTCCCCAATTAGTCACTCAACCCCCTTGTTACTTTTCCACTTTTAACAAGAAAAGAAGGCTGCTGTTCGAACGTTGCTGTCTGTTTCTTGAATGGGGCGAACACGGCAGCACACGCTTCATGTTGATGTTAGTTTGGAGTCAGTATGTTCAGAGGAACTTTCTAACTGTAGATTGAGAGAGCCTCGGGCGACACTGTGAGATCAGTGTGAAGACGCGCACTAAAATTACTTATTAGAAAGTCTTTCCTTTCATGTTAACCTAATGCATTAATGTCAAGCATAAGTGGAGGTAGTTCTGTCACCATGCCAGACAGCTGTAGTCCCCTTTTGCCATTTGTTTTAAGTATATTAAAGAAAGCCTACTGATCTTCGCTGATGTTTATTCCTGCACAGTTTATGGCCTATACCATTCCCATGTTCCCCACAGGCAGTAAAGTAGTTTTCATATTTTCTGTCTAATAAAAGTCAGTGAACAAGCAAATGACACGCAACTGTCATTTTAACTTAATGCCTTTTGGCGGGGCGATAAGCGTCAAACTCTTTTACAGGTATTGCACTGACACTGAGTCACTCTGGTTTAACTATTGAGAATAAATCAGTTTTTCCAGTATTACACATTTTATGCGTCAAAATGATGGGCCCTCCAGTGCCTGCTACTGCCCTTGTGACTGTGAGGCACGCACACATGCATCCACTGCAGTTGGCTTCTCAGGAGGAAAGTATCTGATACTGAACAGACACTGTGAGGTCACTGGTGTTGGTGTATTCTTGCTGAGCTTACAGGGTCCTGAGTAGCTTATGAGTAAATTTATGGTTAACCAGGGACAGTAATGCAGCTCCAGCCAGCCTGCACTCATGCCTGCGTCTCTCCGGAGTGTGATCACCACTGTATAGTCCAGGGATCAGACACAGCAGCAGAGCAGAGGCCAGACTTAAAGGGCCTATATCCGATGTATTTTCCCCCATTCCCACATATATATCCTCATAATTAAACAATCTCTTATATATATATATATATATATATATATATATGTGTGTGTGTGTGTGTGTGTGTGTGTGTGTGTATGTGTGTGTGTGTATGCCCTGTATTCACAAATGGGGAAACAGTCCTTATAACTTATGGACTTCAATGGGAGGAGCTAAAAAGCTGCAGGCTGAAATAGCAGATAGTCATATTATGCAAATATTTGGGCGCCCCTGATCAAATGACATGTTTCATTGTGAAAATAACTTAATGCATCCTCTACAGAAAACACACTTTGCATTCTAATGTAAATTAAATGTAAATTGCCATATTCAAGCTTGTTACCTGTAGAGGATAACGTTAACTTACTTTCACTTACAAAATGAATTGTCAACCTAGTGAAGTTTGTGTTAATGCAAATATTTGGTCAGAATGATCAGATGCAACATTGGTTTGTTTGTCATTGGTAATGCAGTAACAACATAGCAATTAGGGATGTAACAAAACAGCATACAGCAGTTGAATTGTGAATAGCATGCTAGCTTGTGGCTAGTGGTTTAGCTTCAGGCTAACATATTAGCATGTAGCTAGAGCATTAGATTGGGACACTAAGAAACTTTTATTTCAAATTATGTACTTTTATTATGTTGAATCCACCAACAGTAACATATTAATGTACAACACGTTTTATTTTTGCTCCTTATTTTTCCTGTTTTGAAGAATGTATCTGATCAAGACACAAGTGTATAATATCGAGTCAAATATGAAATATGGATTTTGTGAAACATTACACCCCTAATAGCAATGCTGTAGAAGAACCATGTTTAGTTCCCTAAAACCTTCAATTGATGTCTTTTTAGAGGTTTTTTATTTGGAAATGAGATTTGTGTGAAGGGCCTTTTTAAAGTTTAAAAAACCTCCACATAATGCAAATGTTCTAGGAAGAGCCCTTAAACTGGTAAAGAACCTATACATCATGTGAAAGTTCTCACATGCACAAATCTCCTTTTAAACAATATTGTCTAAGGAAGCAAAAGTGATTATTCTTGGCCTTGCATTAAGAACCATTTGTGGCCTACTTTTTACTAATAAACAAATACAAAAGGAGGATTGTAGGCCCAAGAGCTGACTCTTGACTGGTGATCAGATTGAAGGTTTTTCATATCCACTCTGTCTGGAAAGTAAAATAGCAGTCGAGAAATATGGACCAGTTTGGACATATCCAGAGTCCCCTGGGCAAACACGCTTTTTATAGACATGACACTTTGGAAAGCCAAATGTATTTCTTGCATTTCGTCAATTTGCATTCCACTTTCAGCACAACTCAAAATACCTAAAATACTTAAGATAGATCCCACATTCACCTAGTACCCCAGATAGGCCTTTGACACTGTTATGACATCCTGCTTAAGGCCTACTTTCCTGAAAAGTTTGCAGCTAGAGCTACTTTGTCTCAGTAACCTTTATGATAACATCAACACTACATTGTTTGGTAAAACTTTACTGAAGCGTGGGGATCATAAGGCTGCATGACACCTGCATATGCCTTTTTTATGAGAACTGATGTAAACCTCTATAAACATTCATAAAGGCTTTATTCCAAAGCGTCACTTGCGTAGGTGATATAACATCAAAGTCGACAAAAGCAGCCTGACTCTGGTTGGAAAAAGCTGTTTATGTAGGCTTATGTCACTTTTCATGAAACGCTTGTGTAGGTGTCATGTAGTTTTATGAATGCTGCTACCCATTGTTTTTAGGCGAACTAGGTCTCTTGTAGCCTCACGCCTCTCTTGTCCCTCTGTTTTCCTTCAGGAATGGGAGCTGGTGGTGCTGGGGAAGTTGAAGTGGAACCTGGCTGCCGTCACTCCGAACGACTTCATCGAACACATTGTGAAGAAGCTGCCCCTGCCTGAGGATAAGCTGGACCTGATCCGCAAGCATGTGCAGACCTTCATCGCCTTGTGCGCAACAGGTAGCGGCACCTCCCATCGTTCACGTTTTAACTGTGTGTGAAATTAACTCGTAGCTGACCACAGAATGCTGCCTACTGTGTCGTTATCTTGAAAAAGCTCTGGTTTTGTAGCCACTAGTTAAAGCCCTGTAACATGTCTGTGAATTCATACCATTCCTAGGTGGTGCGGTTGATTCCTTTGGTCAACATTTTTCTTTGTTGCAGCATGTTTCAGCTCTTTGCCGTAGTTGCCACCATAAATCACCAATAATGGAGGTCACATTCCGCTTTGTTCCTCCCCGTTTCAATCCCTGAGGTGTATTTTCACTCTTTAATTACGACCTTCTCCCTACGATGCTCCAGATGTAGCAAGACAAACAATAATAAACTGTACATTAAAAATCGAAATCAGGGAGATAAACAAAAAAAAAAAATCCAAAAGCCAAGTGCTTGGCAAATGATAACACGGTTGGCATGTGCTCTGTATTTGTCTTGCACTGGTGTTTTGTAAGTGCGAATGATAAAAGATCCGCTGCCAAGTCAACTGGGTGCTGATATCTTGCGTCAACACTCTGGCAAGTGTTGAAAAATATCCTCATCTGCTCCTTTCAGAAAAAAACTGAAATAGAAGTCAACTTCTAAAGGGATAGTAACTATGGAAACCCCATTCAGGTTGCTTTCTGCGGGCACCGTGCCACCAAATGCCATGTTGTTACCTTCACGTGAAAGTATGTGGATTGAAATTGTGGTCTGTAACGGAGAGGAGCTTTTCTTTGGCCAGTATGTTCAGGGGGGCTGGAGGTCAGGGGGCATATCAGTGGCAAGCAGTGAATGGGGAGACACTTCAAAGGGCAGCTGTCTGGTTAAGGGCATTCCTGTGCACCGCTGATCCAACGGTTGGGGACGGAAGGAAGGCATTGTCTCGGTTCTTGGCGGGTGGATTATGTCTTTGAGATCAAACATGGAGCACAGAACGAGGGTGAGAAAAACGTTGGGGGTGGAGAGCATTCTTACAGTGCGATCCAAACAGCCAAGCATGTCGTGTTTTCATACCTCATCCCTGCTTCTCACGCCTCCTGCCTGCTCCGGGGCATAAATGCTTTCCCATGTAGGAAAGCCTTTGTGGGGCAGGTTCTCCCAGCCGGTCAGAAACTGGCGAGGTAATGCGACCTGCTTGGGTTTCCCCTGGGCGCCCACATCCTTCCCTGGGGTAGCTCGTCTCCCAAGGTCTTTAGGGAAGAAGCCTCGTCTATGAGAGAGCTGGATAAGATAAGGTGGGGGGAGCAGATGACAGGCCTTTCAACATGGCACTTTTGATGTGGGTTCTCCTTTTGCGGATTGTGCAATGGATATTGTAAATATGTTGTGAAAGTGCTCTGACAGGAGACATTGATGGTATCCATGGGAACTGGCTTGAATCCCATTGAAGATACTTGTTGCCATCCATCTCCCTCTCTCGCTCCTTTCTCTCTTTGAGTCACTGAAGATATTGGAACGCCTTTCAGTTTCACATCCATTTCTCACAGGCCTGTTGTGCAAGACCGTGCGTGCACTTTGTCCTTGATTGCTCCAGTGAAGGAGTCGAAATGATTTTAGCGTCTTCCACAAGTCATTTAGAGCATCAGAGCATGTGGTTTCAAGTTGTATCCGAGTAAATAATGCGATGCTGAAACCAGCGCTGATAAGCGACTGCACTTGTTGATGCAGCTGAAACCTCTGAAATCTTCCTGCTAGACTAGCAGGATTTTAGACATTTTCTAAACGGGATTGTGGTCTGCCTTTTCTTCTGTTTCTTTGCCTTCTTTGCAGAGAATTCAGCATCCCCCCTCTCTTTTTTTCTGGAGGGACTTGCATAAATCAAGGCCTCTGTATCTGAATGAGAAAAGAGAAGAGGCTGGGGGGTGGAGACAAAGAAAGACAGCTAATTTTTAATGGTTCCTCGCTTTTGATAGAACAGTTCCGTTCAGGGCACTTGGTGGGATTTGGTCAGGCGGTGTAGGCCAATTCCGTATTAATTAATAACTTGAAGAGGCCTTTCACGGCTATGCAAATTGCTTGAGGGGGTTGGGGGGGTGGGTCTCGGCTAGGAAAAGGAGACAAAGGCGCGACCCTTCATTTCATATGCAGAAACATGTAAGGGTCAGCGTGGAGGGAGCACCTGATAGGAAACTGCAGTGCTTCTCTAGAGGGCAGCCTGTCACAGGAACAAGCTCATTAAAGCAGATTAAAGCCAAATGCCAGGAAACTCATTCCATACGCTCTTATCCGAGGACAGGACCATCATATTGGCAGTATGGATCCCACATATTGGCTCCTCTGCCCACCACATTGTTTACATGTCATTGTTTATGTACCTCCCGCTTAGTCATTCTGGCATTGTTCGAAAGGAGAACGAGGCCTGAACAACGGGAGTGAATCTGCTTTAAAAAATAAAGCGTTTCCATTGACGCAGTGCAAGTATGAGTTTGTTGGTGTCGATGTTTGTTGATACAAGGCCTGATTAGTCAGAGCTCACTATGAGTCTTCTTCCTTTGTATGCCTTGAATAATTTCCTGCATCCATGCAGCAGGAAGCCCTGAAAGCACAGCATTCTCCCAAGAATTTCCTTTTCTGTGTGTCATAGGAACTCCCAAGTGGGTTACCACCGTCTTCTGATGCTGATCGAAACCACAGTATCCTGTCTGACTGTACAGCATAAATGCTAACGATTATGCCAAGTTAGCACCACGAAATCCAAATGTCATACCCACACTTGGATGCTTCAGATGTAAAGGAGGTGAATTCTTTATGGTCGTCACCCACAAAAATTGTTAGGCTGCCCTTAAGAATGTCTTAATTGTGGTCTACTGATCGTCTAACCCATGAGAGAAGCAAGCACGATGGGAGAACTTTATTAGCCTGGTTTGGTTGGTAGAAACAGCTCCTCAGCTGTTTGCTTGTCTTGTATGTGAGACGTCCACAAGGAGAGTTAAATAGTGACTGTGTGTGCAGGGAGGGGTCAGTATGGTTGAACAGCATATCTGTCAATTCATGTCATTCCTGTTTCGAGAGGCAATTGCTGGCCTACATGCTGTTGCTCAAGTCTCTAAACTGAGGTGCAAGACTGAAGCAAGTTGTTACAGGATTTCAACAGTTTAGGAGGATTCCTGTTTTCATTTCATCTGAGTAACAGCGCCTTGGCTGCTTTCATGACATGAAGTGCTGGAGTAAGATGCAAACAATAATAGGAGGACAGCTTTAGAAACTTTCAAATACTGAGAGCATGTGTAGCATTTTGCTAGCTAGCTTGTGTCATTAACGGCTAAAAACATATATAAACGCATATATAAATATATATAAATATATATATATAAGGTGCATGGTTTATTTTGTTCACTTTTATTAAAAAAATTACACAAGTGACACAACCTAGCTAGTAAAATGCTAACGTTAGCTAACTGAACTATTTTTACCTTGTAAAAGGCAATATTTATTTTTACTTCATGTAAAGTTCTCTGCACATGCAACATATATCTACATGTTTAATTGGAGTTTTGGAGGGCTTTTAGCTATGCTAACTTACGTTACATCCACGTGCTAATGACAGGCTAGCTGCTCGTTGGACATTCTCGACGAACGCACCTTCGCCCCCCTACTGTGAGTTCCTTTTTCCACCTTCCCGAGACGTTGGATTGGCTTGGAAATTTCACACTCACTTTGTTTCCACCTTAATAAATCTCACGCTTAGCCCAAACTTTTAATGGTTGTCCCCAGACGTTCTCAACATCTGGCCCCTCATCATAGGTAAAATTGCACATACCTTTTTAAAAAGAAAAGCAATTGCTCACTGAACTTTGGAACACAATGCATGAAATTTGTACACCTTTAAGTGTAATTTTAGATGTTGTTTACATGTAAGTTTGCCAAAAATTCTGACTAAGTTTAAGTCTTTTTAAAAAAATGTGTTGCATGGGTAAAAACTATAGTAACAGCCATCTTATGCCTACAAGCTTTATTGTTGTCCATTTTTCATGTCATACAATGTCCGTAATCACGTAAGCAAGTCTATTTGAGATCTGTTATGTGACAAGCAAGTTTGTAGCAAGTTTGCCTAATGCTTATTGATGGAGTTTAAGCAATACTAGGAGATACAAACTACATTAGATACAAAACTAAAAAAGCAATCTCTGCACTTCACATTGTTTTTTTTTATGTAAACATACAACTGTGAAATCTAACAACTGTAAAAAATGATTGTATTCAGCTTGCATGAAGGCAGTAACTTCAAATAATTGTAGTTATTAGGTAATAATTGTGACAATAATCCGTGGCAGCACTAATAGAATGTCAGGTCATTATATTACACTGAATCTGTACCATCTCAACCCATTAATTATCATTTAGCAAAAAATTGTGTTTGTGTACTGTCCTGTTTAATTTCCACATAGCACAGTAGTGTCTCATAGCATGGTTTTAACAGATGGTGGCGGTGTTTTGTCTTTGGTCATAAAAGTGCAAATATTGGGACATTTATGTGAAGTGACGCCAGTGGACCTTAACAGAGACAGACATAGAGTAGGAGCTTTAGCACCTACCACATCTCGCTAGCCCACAAGAGTCCAAGAATTTACTGTCTGTCTGCGAGCTCCCTCACTTACACTCTCTAAGTGGCTCGTTCCAGTTGACTGTGGGCTGCGGTGGGTGATATACTGTGATGCCAAATCCAAAATGTTGTTTACATTTGACCTTTATCAATCAGTGGAGCCTGGCTGCTCAAAATGGGGCTTTCTGTAAACTGCGATTAATAAGCTACGCATCGGCATGGAATCCTGGCAGTTGATTTATTGCCCTTAAAAATCATCGCTCTCTTTGGCTGTTTCTCAACTTTCCGGGCGTTTAATTAATTTACAAGTTAAATGCGTATGCAGTGCATCGCACCCACCCAGGAGTTGGCCGTGCTGGCACGGCCCTGAAGACGCTGTGTGGGGAGGGCGAGAGAATGGCTCATTGAAGGGGGCGAGAGGCCGGAGGAGCAGGCCAGCCAGCCGCCGCTCACAAGGAGCCTTCCATCGCAAGCGTCCCCACTACATACACTGTTTTTCCCCTGCACGCATATCAATGAAGGCATGCAAAATACGGCCATTCTTCCTCCGACGACCGCTCACACACGCCAGAGTGTCCGGCTCTGCCGCTAACATGTGCGCCCCCTTGTTCCACAACAAACCTATCTTGTCCCGAGTGTGAAAAATCAGATTGCTACGCATTTAGTGTGCGCTAGCTAAGTGTACGAATCTATGGCCTTCTCTGTCCCTGTTGCAGATGGCAGAATAGACCCCAAAGAAAGTGATGTAATGCGATCCTTCTGCATTAACTCTGCTTTTTCCTTTTGGCTAGAGCTTAAATCCTTTTCTGCCCTAGGCTTGGAGGTGTATAGCAAGTTCATTTATTTGTCAACACCGAGCCACAAGTTTAGCGCCTGGTTCTGAATGTTAAGAAGGCAATGAAGGGATGGTTCTTTAGCAATCAAAGGCCACCTCTTTGATTTCCCCCCAAAAAAGAGAAAAGAGACGAAAAATCACCCTCAGAGCCATCTTGAGGTTTGCTTTGAATACAGCAGCATGGTAATGCAATGGCCGCTGGGGTCCACTCTGTGAGCCCATAGGTGGCCCGGCATCAGAGGAATGGCAGGGAGGAGGGGGGGGTCTCTTTTCTCCTGCCAAAACCTCATGAGGGTTTGGACACAGACTAAAGAATGATGTTCAGAGAAGCAGCCTCCCCCAGTCAATTCTGCTGGCTCAAACCTGACACACAGCCCCCTGCCCAACGCCCCCTGGCCCCCCAAACTCACCATCGCAAACCTTTTTTTTGAATCCCCCCAACCTTTTCTGAGTCAACAGAGAGGGATCGATGTTGCGTCTCTCAACTGGATAAGAAGAGGTGATGACTCTGGACAATGAAGCCACGCTCACTTGCTGACTGAGCCCACTGGCAGCACTCAATTAATATGCTAAAGGATAGCAGCCTTGCTAACACAAATCACCAGTTGTTGTGGCAACAAAAGCTGGGCATGTGTGCCATTCAACCTGAAGGCCTGGTGTCTGGGGACGGAAAACTGTAAGGAAAAAAAAAACAGGCAGAAAAGAGAAAAGAGCGAGGGATCTGGTTAGAAAAAACTAAAGAAGAGAGACAAAAATCAATGAGGCAGGCAGCCTTCGCTATTAGCTGTTTCAGTTCTTTCTCCATGCTAGCTCCCTCTCTTCTTCCTCTTTTCTTTCTCTCTTGTCTTTCTTTCCCACTCTTCTCAGCCGGTCGTACTTTTGGGCTCAGGGCCCGTTCACAAGCTGTCTTATTTGCATTATGAATGACAGTGCGAGAGCTAACAAGGTTATTGGTCTTTGAGACGCACGCCTGTGACCACACGTGGAAAAAGGACCTACAGCAGTGAGCATTGGCAGGGCGACGCTGGCTCTTTATCCTCTCCTTTCCAAGAGCTGTGGGGCTTTTTTTTCAGGGAGCACACGATTTACTTAGGAGCTGGAAGAAAAGGGGCCGAACTGGGGAGGGTTGTTGAGGGGGTTTGGGGGGGCTAGATTTGGCGGGGGGGGGGTTCTTTCAGCCTTCTTTTTAAGCCAAGTGAACCCTCATTATCCTGGGTTGCAGTCATTAGCAAAGGACTATGCACAGACCTAATGGAAATGGCCTTCATTTATTAGCATTTCTGATTCTTATCATATTCTTTTATGTTTTAAGGCACATAGCAGTGTGTGAGTCTTTTTTGTATACATTTTGTGCAGAAGACAGTCAGTAGAAATTTTGTCTGTGATGCTTAAAAAGTTCATGAACTGAAAGCCATTTGTTCTACACACATTCTAATGATGGTAATAGGAACTTCGAGCAACAACCTGTGCTGTTCTGAGCATGCACAGATTTAATTAGTCGCTTACTCCTGTTGCGGCCTGCTGTCCTACTACGGCAGACACATTAGTTTGCCGAAGTTGCTAAAACACGAGGTTTAAGTGAGTTAATTTCACATTTCTATTCAATAAGTTCAATGCAAAATGTTTAATGACACTGGTCAATATAGTGTCAGTGTTTTCATTTTTATCATCAGGTGAGGAAAGACTTCATTTGACCATCATAACGCAGATATAGCCTTTCTTCCTTCCAGCTGTTGATTCTTAAATCAGAGCCAGTTTAAAGGGAGCGTAGACACTTTCTATACCAGTCATTAAACCATAAAATGGTAGATGCTGCCCACAAGTGAGTCCTCAGTGAATGGGCGGTAAATATAGCTAAATAGTTAAAAACTGTAAAAAAGGATTAACAAATTACAAATTACGGTTTTAGCACCATAGAAATCTGATCATTTTGGACTCGCTCAGTAGCGCCTTCTAGTGTCCAAATCCCTAATTTTTTTTTTCACAACTCCCTCAGATTTCAACTTTGCCATGTACCCTCCATCCATGATCGCCACAGGCAGCGTGGGAGCAGCAATCTGCGGCCTGCAGCTCAACAGCACAGACCGTTCGCTGTGGGGGGACAGTCTTACAGAACTGCTGGCCAAGATCACAAACACAGAAGTTGTGAGTATCCTATCCTTTATCTAACGACACCTCATTTTAAATCATACAGTGAGATCTACAGGGCTTTTCCCCCGGCGGTTATGTTAGGCCGATTTCCTCGACATGAATTTGTGCTTCTTTGCTTCATGCTAGATGCCTCAGTTTGATAGCAATGCTTGTTTATATTACTATGAATCAGAGCTTTTACATCCACCCACATCATAAATGCTGTACTTTTTTTTTTTTACAGTAATACACTGTAAAACAGAGCCAGACAGATCACACGATGGGATATGCGGTACATTCAGAACAACAGAAGCAGTTATGATAAGTTTGATGACACAGTGGCATGTGCTTTAAGACTGCTTACTCAGTGAAAAGAGTCAATGAGTCCCCTTTCATGCCTTTCATCAGCAGTAGTAATGCTAACCATCAAGACCTGGATATGTCAATGAGTGAGAAGCAGTAAAAACGGAATATATGTCTACCCAGGGCTACATATTTGTATCATGTAAAAAATAAAGTCTGCACTCCAACTTGCTGGCAATGCATCAAGCCCTTTTTCCCCATAGTCTTTTACAGCTGTCCCATAATCCCCTTCGCTGCCTCTGGCACTTTGCTCTGCTATTCGCCCCAAGAGGTCACATGCCACATGTGTGTTAAGCTATGTAAATGCGTCTGAAACGGCGCGAGAACAGTGGAGTGGGTGTGTGGTGGAAAGGAAGAGATCAGGTTAGTTTTGTGCTTGCCCTGCACATCTCGGACATGAAAGCAAGCTTGATGTAGGCGGAAAGCAGGACGGTGTGGAGTAGGAAAAGAGACAGGGGCCTAGAAACACAGCCAGACGGCCATGTGGCCCTGTGGCAGGGCACCCAGTCCAAACACAGGCAGGGCTTCAGCTGCAGTGGGGAGGGGGAGCAGGGGAGGACTGGCTTTTGTCAGGGTGCTAGCCTGCTTGAAGACCAGGGACAGAGGCGTTTGAAGGGGGGCCGCATTTTGGAAGAGTTGACGGCAGTGCCGGTAACAGTGGTGTTATTTAAAACCAGACTTCTGAGATGAGAAGGTCCCCCTTTTGTCTGCTTAGCAGTGCCCCTGAAAAACATCAATGCACCATTTGGGTGTGTGTATGTGTGTGTGTATGCATATGTAAGTGTGTGTGTGGCTGCGGCCCTGTGCAAGGAGATTGCGCTTTCCTCGTTATTTACTCAGTGGGCATGCGTCCAGCTCCAATTCAATCTCACATTCAGACGCTGAATTACTGGAAGTGAAATGGGATTGACCCCGACTGAGAGACCGTGAGGAGGGAGACCACAGAGCCGGGGCGCAGCGGCTTTATGCAAACGACTCACAAAGCCTCACACATAACACACTGCCCCACAAGGGACGGTCTCATGGTTCTTTGAGTTTGAGTTTCTTCTTCGGGAGGGAATGAGTGGAAGAAATGCAGCGAGGAGCAAAGAAAAACAAGGTGGGGAGAGAAAAGACAAGGGTCCAAAGGGAGAGCCCAGAGGTACGCTGTAGGTGTCTGCCCTGACCTGGAGAGGTCAGCCCTCCTGCCCGGAGTTCACCACCGCTGGGAGGACGGCTGCCGTGGCGGCGTGTGGCGTGTTAAGTTGCGCACCGTATCGGAGGAAAAACAAACAGTCCTCCGGAGCAGTGAAAAGTTCTCAGTGTGCGAAGAGTGTGAGGTCTCAGCCAGTAGAAATGAACTGCCTGCTCCATGATCAACTCTTCACATTCCTGGATGCCAACAAGCCATACCTTTGAAAAACATGCAGGCGGGGGCGAAGGCAGTTTGGGTCTACTGACTTTTTTGGAGGCCGGAGATTTTTTTGGACATTTTTTTTCCTCTAATTAAATGTTAAAGAAGTCTGCGAGGAAACACTGTCTTGCATGCTTTACCTTCCAATCTTATTCTGTTCTTTGCAAAGGCTGGACCTTGTCAGAAGTGATTGCCACCTCTCCAATATCAAGGGTTACTAGTTACTTTCATGAAGACCCTGTAAATGTGACTTTTTAAAGATCAAAAATGCTAATATTGCTAATAATTAATTATCTTCAACCTAGGCTTATATGACGAGAGATTGTCTGTCTTCTTTTTCGGGCAGAAACTTGGGCTGGTGGCTTCTGCTTTATGCTAGAATGCTAGACCCTTTCACCCTAAAGATATGACAGGTAGGACAAAGAATCAGGGACGAGATAGGGAGGTGGTAGGATGTAAAAACTTTGCCACAGGAAACAAAAGATATGGAATATGTGCCTCAACATAAACTTTAAGAAGGTCCTTTGAACTGCACTGAAAGCTAACAGCTGCTAATTGGCATTATACTAATGAAAATTGTTGACTGGTGGCTGCTTGCCTTTACTTGTCATTAGCCAAGTTAGGCTCAAATTATCCTGTAATTATGTATCCATGTAATCATGCATTTTAAATCGGCAGAGGAGCCTGATGTGAGAAGGCCTTGCAGACTGAGACTGAGGTGGGGAGGAAAGTGGTCAGGGGGAACGTGATGATGACGCTGCCAACCTCCCCGCCGGGCACCCTGCTGACATTTGTGGTGTCCAGTGCCTGTGGTTTTCAGCAGACATGTGACAGAGCCAACCAGCCTACTCTGGTCGCTGTTGCTGTGTGTGTCTAAGTGTGTACGCATAGCCTCAAACACACCTGGTGGGGTACGGTGTGTACACCAGTGGGCTCCACGCTTTCAGGCCAAACCAGGATGGCTGAAAATTTGGCTTCGGCGACTCGTGCAAACTCTATGGCCTCTCTTCTCAGAAAGAAGCAAAAGCAATGAATATTCCAGCTGGCATTTGGTGTTTACAGTAAATGTTGTTATTGTAGCTAATGTATACTGTAAATGATGCTCTTTGGCTTGTTGCGTTTCTCCAGAGGGCCACTGTGAGTTTTCGTCTCATCATTAGCGTTCAGTCAGCTGGCTTTGAATTAGTTGAGCTTGCGTTCAGATACGAATTAGTGGAGTTCCTGTATGGTTTGGGTTGGGGGCATGGCTTCCCGCACTGAGCTCTTTTTGCCTTGGCCTCGTCGCAAGATTAAGCTCTGGACTCTGGATGAATGAACAAGAGGGAAACACTGGTGAGCTTTTGTAGGGATGCATGATTTCCCCTCTCACACAGTGAAGTCCTTGCGGCCACTGAAAAATCCAGGACTTACTAAAAGTAGGTGAAATGTCAGTCATCAAGTTGAGGCATGTTGAGAATGCTCATCTGCTCAAAATATCGCTAAAGGACACTAATGTTAGGGCTAATGTGAGCTTGAAAAGTTCCATTTTTTGGAGGAATAACTGCTCCATCTTGGGCTGCAGGATCAGGACCCCTGGCCTGTTGCACCAAGCCTCTGGGACCACATTTTAATCCCTTTCGTTTCTCAATGCTCTGCTGGCCCCGTAATGAACCCAGTGAGTCTTTTTACTCCCCAATAAAAAACAGACAACAGTGCCTTCTGCTGTCTGTGGTCTTTCTGCCTGACTCCCCTCCTTCTTGTACAAGATGGCATAGTGAGTGACATCACGGCGACTGCCGATGGTCCTTCAGCAGAGCCTTGTTTGCCTTGCGGTTACTTACAGCTTATCCAGTGTCGCCCTCCTCTGGATTAGATCATGGAGAGGCTCCTTTCAGAGCCAATCCCAGTCCTACCAGTAGTCACACATTGAAGTCATTAAAAGTTGCTTGAATTAAGCCTGTGGGGCTTGGCGCAGGCTTGCCTCTGCCTCTATAAAGAGTGGCGGCGCAGAGGGGAATGTCTTTTAAGAAGTCGGGCCTGGCATTCTTGCGGTAAGACACAGGCAGTTCCTTTGCATGTTTTATGCTTTAGTTAATTTTCTCAGAGAAATTTATTTTTTTATGACTAATAGCGGCACGTCACAGTGGGAAGCCGGAGACCTCTGGAGGAGATTACAAGGACGGCGGTCGCTTTCCTCTGCAGCGACACAGACGACTACGCCCTCCCAGCGGCACCAGGGCCTTTCCTCGACGAAAAATCACACGCACCTTCTGGCCATAACAGTTGCTTTCTGAGGACACGTTTTACTGAATGTGACTAAATCTCTCAGCGATGTCACGTCTCACCATTAAACGAAAAGTTATTGCCCACTCTTTATGTTCTTCATAAAGTTTAAGGCTTCTTGGACCGCCCCACACAGTCGCTCAGAGGACCTTCGTGGGTGATAGCTCCGTTCTTTTGAGCCTATGTATATATGCAAAACACTTGCTTGGCCTGAGAGCCACACGTTACATGGGTTTAGGCTGCATCCCATCAGTTTTTAATTAGCAGTAAATGTCAAAGGAATGCAGCCTCTCCACAAGCAACACATTCTCTACAGGCCCTGCCCCTGAGGCAGCTCGCTGAAGAACTCTCCCACAGACGCCTGGTGTGCCTCAGACCCACAGAATAGCAAAGAGGAGAGTGTGTGCAGTGCACTTTGACTGAGCTCCACTAGAGGGTGCCAGTCTTGAGTGATGGAGTTGCCGGATTGTGAGCTCTCTGGACATTTTTGGCTTTTTCAGTCAGTTTCAGTGGTTTAGACAGCAAGCTAAAATGCTGGATTTGATTTTCTTTGACAAATTAATTAATTAATTAATTAGAGACTCTGGGCAGATACTCACCTATTCTTAGCTTCTTAAAAGGGGAATTGCACCAGTTTTTCAAACTTTCTGCACAATTCAGTCAGAATTGCTATAATATGGTATAATTGCTATAATGTGCTATAATAGTTTTGAGATAATATTTTGACCTATTCACCTATTTTTTAATAAGATTATTCATGGTGGACATGCATGGTGTTGTGAGGCAAAATAGTCCCCAAAGAAAAAGTATTTTTTCAGATTTACCATAATTTTACCATCATTAGCATTACATATAAAAACTCAGGTGCATGTAGGTTCCCAGGTAATTTTAGATAGTAAATAAAATGGCTGTATTTGACCCCTGGTTCCTTTTACCACCACTGTAAAGACAGTTTGAGTCAGCAAGATTCTCTTCTCTGCATCATTTTACACCAAAACTCTTTGATTGACTTTGTGTACATCTTGATGAGTAAATTTTACAGCAATGTTGAAAAGATGGTGGAATTTCCCTTTAACTTCTGAATATGAAGTATGGCTCCATGCTGGCTGGTGGCAGGTGAATGAGCACACTTTGCTCTTTGAAGCTGTAAGCAGAGCTGTGGTGGGCTCAGGTGGGACCCCCTAAGGCTGATACACTCTTGTTAAAAGGGAGAATTAAGATAAAAGCCCTCTCTTTGTCTTTTCACAGGACATGGATGCAATTAACATAGCTTTAGTACACGCAGCATTTATTTTCAGGGTTGTCAGGGCAACTAATGTTGTGTGTCAGTGTGTGCGTGTGGATTGGTGTCTGGATGGAGGGAAGAGGTTGACAAAGGCAACTGATCACAACCTGTATTCTTCATACAATCTTTTCTTCTGACACTTGTTTTTTCAAGTATTACTACATGGGACAGGTTTTGTCTGGTCATTATTTCTTACGGAGACATAAGATATAATTGCATATGGGTCTCTAACATGCACAGTGCTAAAGTGTAATGTAGCACTTTTCAACTTTATCAGTTTGCCAAAAATTACAGTTTACACAATTTTCATCAACCAAGGCGTATGGGATGTCTGACATTTTAGTCACTGCTGGTGGATCTGTATGACCATACACTTCGATACACCTGCAAATTCACCTACTTCCTGCACACTATGGCCTTTGGCATGGCCAAATGCAGACACTTTTTTTTGCCAATCATTAATATGTGCTTTGCGACCCATTTTCCAAACATCGAACGAGACATTCACTGCACTGTACCACCTTTTCTCAATCTGTGAATCCCGTTGCACACCCCACAGGTATTTATAGCCTGATCATCCTCGTGCAACACTTTCTGCAGCAGCTTGAAGTTACTACCACGGTAAACACACAAGGTGACAAGTTTTTTGTCCGGGGAGCTTATTAAGCTTAGCCTGTTGAGGGTCGTAATGCCAAAAAGTCAAACATACATTTCTCTCTCTCTTTCTTTGTCTCTCTTTCTTTCTCTCTCTCAGATGCTTCTTCAAATGGTATTGGTAAAGGGTAAAATTCTCAGTATTTATTTTAGCAGTTTCTCAATTACATGAGACACAGTAATCTGTATTAATGGATGCAGACACAGCAGGGGCACATACTTTTCTCAAGTTTATGCAAATAACATCATGCTCTTTTAGGTCTTTGTATCTTTCAGTTCTTCCGAAAATTGCACTGTAGCAATACCTTCATTCCTTAAGCTCCTGAATGAATCTGAATAAATCAGTATGAGTGTATGAATCAGTATGTTGCTGTTGTTGCAGGACGTGCTGAAGGCGTGTCAGGAGCAGATTGAGCGTGTGCTGATGAACAGCCTGAGGGAGGGCCGCCGGCAGCAGCACAAGCAGCAGCAGCAGGATCAGGGCCCGCGCAACAAAGCCCTGGACGACCAGGACCAGTCCAGCACCCCCACCGACGTACGGGATGTCAACTTGTGAGCTCGCAGAAGGAGCGGCGCCTGGATCTGGATCCGTCTTCTAAAGGAAAAAAAAAAACAACAAAAAACAAAAATGACAAAAAAACAAACAACCCCATCAAAAAGTGCTTGCTAGTCTTTGTAGTTTTTTTTATTCTTTTTTTTTTCAATGAAAAAAAAAGTTCCCTGTACATTACGAAATCAAAGATATTTTAGATACGAAATAGATATTTTTGAAATGAATTGATACTGATGCAAAAATCTCTATGGTGCCTCAGATTCAGAAGGGAAGCCTGTAGTATTTTGCAAACTATTTTTGATTATAAACAAAAAGGTGTATTACAAAAAAAAAGCTGTAGTTTAAAAAGGCTTTTTTAAATAGAGTCAACGTTAAAAGACTGGCATGTAAAGGTACACATTGCGGGGCTATGTTTTTTTTCTGTTTTGTTGTGTTTTGGTTCATGTTCGAAAAGCCTGAGCTTGAACACACGCAGGGGTGCCATGAAGCTGGTTAGTGGATTTCCCCCGTTTGGCTGCGTGGTTGAGGATGTAAACGATGCGCGGGACAGTTGAGGCGGAAGCCTTACGCTGAGAATGTGATCGGTTTCTGTTGGGACAAGGAGCCCTCTGGGTGAAGATTTGGTTAGATATGTTTAAAGTCAGCATTACTTGTCAACAGATTGCACGTGGAATGAACGTGGCTCAAGGTGAAAACAGCCTGTTTTTCAATGTATCAACCAAATTTGGCACAAATTTCAACAGTTTTGCCCAGTGTTGGGGGGGTGGAATGTCTTAAGAACAGGCTATTATTATTATTATTTTATTATTTTTATTTTTATTATTATTATTATTATTATTATTATTATTATTATTATAAGTATTATTATTATTATTATTATTCTATCAGCAACTTATTGTCTCTCAATTTTCAAAATACAGAGACTCCAATAAGCTTTTGTCAGGCTGCTTGTGTGTGCATGCATATGTGTGGGTACATGAAAGTGTGTGTCAGAGAGAGAGTGAGCAAGCGAGAGACTGGGTGAGCGAGAGAGAGAGTTGTGTGCTTCGTTTTGGTTAACTATCTGCAAGCGTGCGGTTCAGGATAGACGGTGAGGATTAGACAGGAGATAGTGCTTTTTGCCTGCTTCGGAGGGCCACGGGCCGCCTGTATCACTGCCTTCTATTCATGCGCTTTTATTTTAGTGGCCTGGGACATGGGGCTGAGCCCAACCCGGCGACCGAGAGGAGACAAGACACAGAGAAGAAGAGAGGGAGGAGAGAAGTTTCCATATCAAAGGGTGTGATGGAGGAGGTTCTATTTCTTACAACCTCCTGCTATATTCCTATACAATCTATATTTTAAGTTTTTTTTGTTTGTTTGTTTGTTTGTTTTTTTGGCTCATCGCGGTTTTGACTTGAAGGAGCCCGAGGCTGCTTTGATTGTCACTCAAAGAGGTGCTAGAGCAGAATTAGGACTTGCAGAGTGTGGATCCCTACATGCAGTCAAAGAAAGTGCAGGGTGGCGTGAGATTTCGTGCTCAGCTGAGGAGGACGATGGTGGTGGTGGTGATGATGATGATGTGGGTGTGAGGAGAGAAGCTTGCTGCTGCTGAGGTGGACATAACGATGGCATACAGGAGAGGCGGAGGCCAAAGGAGAAGATCAGACGTGGTTTCCCGGAAATCGTTGCGATATTTAAGTTCTTTTTTTTTTTCAAATCTGTTAGTTTGTTCGTCTGTTAAGTTCGTTTTTGTGTCTGTCTTAGGTTTTTGGATTACAGACCAGTATCTAAACCAGTTTGAATCGACACTGCCAGCTAAATAGTGGGGAAGGTGTCACACAGGGAAGCTGAATTGAGTAGAGGAACGTTTTTAATTTAATTTTATTTTTCTGATGGGTGCATCTGTAGTTCCTCGGTTTCAACAGCAAAGCACTTTGAGCACATACCCACCCACATAGGATCATGGTGAAGGGGTCTTGTTAGGCATTGGCTACGTATGTGTACCAGTTTTTTCGCACGCGGGCTGGTCTCCCATGTTGAAACCATGGCATGTTATGTTGGGCCCACCAATGATAGCCAGTGTGGACATTCCAACGTCAAAAATATAAACATTCCAAAATTTTTTAAATTGAGGGAAATGACAATTTTTTTAAACCCCCGTTTTCTTGCGATTTTGTTTGCTGTTCAGTTACATGCTAATTGGTTGTTGTGCATTCATAGATAGTAAATTAAAGCCTTGCAACATCAGTAATTTGCACGCAAGGGCAGATATTGTCTAATTTATAGATGAACTGGTGAAGCTGCTCTATTAGAGAAAAAAATGTTTGTTTCATATGGTGCCTTGATTCTTATTGATGCGATGAGTGATGCTCTGCCCTGCGTCTCTGTGCATTGGTCTAGCCTATAAAGTCCACTGTCCAGTCATCTCCTTTACAAAAACCTGCTGCTTCCAAAGGTTGGACTGGCACTGGATTTAATACGTTCCACGATAGACAAGACTATGGTGATGTGCACGACACATCACTCATGCACAAGCCTCTACAGAGGGGGCGGTCAGGGGCAGTCCAGCTTTGTTTGTGTAGTCTGTGTTTATGCGTCTTTCTGTGGGGTGAAGGAGACGGTCTGCTCATAAATTCCCTTAAATTCCCCATAAATCCTGATGAGTTCCAAAAGGCGTTTGGGTTCCGTAGGTCAGGTTACTTCCATTTGCTCACCAAAACAGACCCTTTGTCAACTGATTGTATGACATTCTCCTGTTTTATTCCCTTCCCCAGCTCTGCTCTGAAAAAAATGAACTGTAGTACTGTTTTTTTTTTTAGATCCTATGGGTGGCTATGTGGTTTGATTTTTTGGATATGGACCGAAATTGTTCTTCTTAAGGGTTAAGATACTGTATTCCAAAGTGAAGAGAGGTAGAAGTGGTTGTGAAGACATCAATCAAGTGTCAATATTTTTTATTGAGTTATTATTATTATTTTTTTTTTCGCTGCTAAAAAGCTATGATTTTTGTTTCAACTTATACACAAAAATAACATAGTTGTGATGTCACTTGAGTGTGCTGCTATTTTATAAACAATTGTATTATAATTATTTTACTGCTTACAGAATACTTTGAGAATGCAGAAGTAGAGGGTTATAGAAGATCATGAAATGAAACGAGTGTTCGACTGGAAATGCTCTTTTTGTACAGTATGCTCTTAAAGCATGATTCTTTTCCTTTTTCGTTTGTTTTTTTTATCTCTCGTTTTCCTGCTCTCCTACTTTTTCCCTGTCACAGTCTGTAAGTACGGTATGTCTATACCTCAGGTTTACTGGACAAAAGAAAACAAATCTCTCAGTACCTCACAACTCATCACAGTTTTTCGGGAGCCGACGAAGGACAGCGTAAAGTAGAGATTCCGAGGGACGGGACTTATAATGGTCCCTTGTCAGTGGACGTCAGCAGGCTCCCACCTGGACTTCAACCAACCATAGTGGAAGGAGGGGTGGAACAAAAGTGCCTATTCCTTCAGATGTTAGAACTGAGCTAAACACAAATATTAATATCTTTGCGTCTGGAATGTTTGAATTATGTATGTGACTCAAGCTTGGATCGTCTACAATCATCATTTTCATTGTAACATCTCAACATATATGAAAAACCCATGTTTGTTGAGTCGCACTTTGCTTCGTCCTTAACGCACCTGCCAAGATGACATTTTTCAGGTGTGCCGAAGTTACCTTTACATTAACTGCCCATTAGAGGCCTCACTGCCATATTACTGCCTTCAAATTACTCTTTAAGCATTTAAGTGTCAAAAATGACAATATGGATTCTGTCTCCTCCCTCCACTATGACATTATCATGTACCTCAATTATGTCTGTTGCACAACCTCTGTTCAATAAATATCTGCTTCAAAGAGTGTGGCGCCATATCAGTCCTGTATTGTTCTCTCCTGTTTGGTAATAGGTTGTTAGTTCATTCTGTCTTACAGCATGTCAGCCTGTTTGGATCAGCCAAATGAATGAGAAAGTGCTAGAAAAATACAGAGGGTGTATAAGTTTTAGACTGAAACTGACAGAATTGCAATAATATCATAGCATAATAGTATTATTAGTAGTAACTTTTATTACTATCTACTGGTCATTACATTACTGCCAACTGCCCCGGCTCTTACCTAACACTAACCTAATAAACGAAGATCATGTAATCTCTTATTAGTGAGCCATTAGTTATTCTTTTCACACTCTGAAACTCCCTGACAAAATAACTTCAAACTGTCCACCAGGTTTAGGCCTCTATGACCTGAAGAGTAGACTACCAAATGAAGTTAAACTGATTAGCCAGCTTTCACCTGAATCTTTCAGGTGAGCTGAAGGTTTAAGTGGCTCAACTAGAGCCAAGGATAGTGTGAGAAATTCTGCTGCTGGAAATCTTCTGATTTTCTATCAGGATTTGAGCGATTTACCTGCTGTAATGTGTAGTGCTTGTGGTTGTTGAAAATAATAATAAGTAATAGTCCGAATAAACCCATGGCTATGGCAGCATATTCTGGATGTTATTCAGATTGTTATTGTGTGTTCATTAACAATGAAAATGCAATTGCAATCATGTTTACAATTGCATTTGAATTCTGGCAGAGCTGGAGCACAACAATGAGGAAATGCAACGGCAAATGGACGATTGTTTTTCTGGTTTTAATATGTTAGATTGAGACCATCTAGACAATGAAAGTGAAATGTCAAAAGCATTGCTTTTCCATATTAACTTTTCCCAGCCATTATATCCTGCTGAAAAAAATCATAGACACAATCAAAAGTTTCTGCTGGTTCCTGGTGATGTCCAGTAGTCACTAATGGGATGTTGTGTTTTCTGGGTTTTTCATACATCTCGACGTGTATGAAAAACCCATGTTTTTGAGTCACATTTTGCTTTGTCCTTAATGCACCTACCAATATGACATTTTTTCAGGTGTGCAGAAGTTTACATTGAATGCTTGATACAGGCCTCACCACCAAAGTACTGCAAGTTGCTCTTAAAGCATGTTATGTGGGTTGATATCACAGTAAAAAGGATTCTAGTAGTTACAGGTGTCCTGGACTGATTCCATATGGTTTCCTAATGGGATCTAAAGATATCCTACAGAAACCTAGTGGTCTCTAAAGGTAACCATTAAGTCAACTTCCATTAGAAACCAAATCTAACAGGTTTTTACCATAATAGTTCTAATAGTCTTTTTTCAGCAGGGTACACAGAAATGCATATACACATTTTACATCAGGATTATATAGAATTTATATAGAATTAGAATTATATCTATAATAATGCATACTCACATCGGAAATGCAACTGTAAATACACAATTCGATGAGCATTTTCATTTTTTCATTTTCATCAAATTTAAATTTGCATCTGAATTTGAATAAAGTCAAGAATATGCTCCCATGCACGGTTTTATTTCAATAAGTAAATAATAGCGGTGAACTCGTGAGTCGGTTCCTTTAAATCGGTTCTTTTGAGAACATTGGTCGTACCGGTTCACAAGTCACGCCGAATAGATCTCTAAGCAAAGTTCATGTGTTCATAACTTTTAAATGTAACTTAAAAAACATCCTATAAAATACTGCATTGTAATCAATCGAGAAGAAGCTTTAAATGAGCTGTTTTCCCTCTCTGGGCTGTGGCTGGCCTCCTCTTTCTTTCATAAGAATGTAAATAAAGTTGACTTGACTGGTGAATCAACGAATCGTGGAATCACATACAGTCTGAAAGAATCGGTTCGCTAAACTGAATCCCAGCACTTGTTACACTTTTAGGCCAATCGGGTTCCAAGGCGGACTGTGACGTCAGAGCACAACAGCAAGACCAAAACACGGAGAGGCAGAAGAAGCCGGCAGGACTGGACTGGGGCTTAAATTTCAGCCTTTCTAGCAGTTTTGGTGCTAACATCTCTCTTTCTTTAATAAGCTAATGCTCTCATTCGGTTTGACGATAGTCAGACAGTAAGTTGAATGTATGTTTTTTTTCATTCTCGGTTTTTTCGACGCTTGTCGAAGAGATTAACCAGGCAGCGTTTCCTAGTTTCGTAGGTCAGCCTGCTCTGCTCTGCTGACTTCTTGGTAAAACGCGGGACAAAATAAACCAAAATGCAGGTTCAACATGGACTAATATACACTGTTGACACCACATGTTCTTCTGTGGCTGCTTATGCAGTATAGAGTTTCGTCCCGCCTACTGTAGGGTCTGTGTAAAGGTCAGTGCTAGAACGCAGGCTGTGGCAGTGAACGCTAGGTCCATCTCAATGTGATGTATTCAACGGAAGCTGCATTGGTTGCATGACTGCGTTATAATAACTAAAAATAGTCAGGGAATATTCCAGTCCAGTCCTTTATATAGTACCCCAACGCAGGGTGTAGGCCAGGGGTGCACAACTGTGGTCCTGGAGGGCCGGTGTCCAGCATAGTTTGGTGTTTTACCCGCTCAAACACACCTCATTACACTCATCTGTTAATTGCCAGGTTTAGTGGGTGTGTTTGAGTAGAAAAGCTACCAAACTTCTGGACCGGAGCTGTGTGTCCAGCACAGTGTAGGCACTAACTGATGTTATGATGACTTAATGACAACTTTTTTAAGCACCAGTCCACAGTTAAGTTTTAAATCATGGCTTCTGCATGTTAAAACTGAATGTTGTCTGATTTTTAACCTTATGCATATTTTCAGTGGTGAGACACAATACAACAAGGACAGACTGCTTCAAGGTAAAGTTTGTTTATGACCAAACAGCCTCTGATACCATTGTTCCTCAGAGTTGTCAAGGCTGTATGTCTCTTTCAGGCCAGGGGATAGACTCTTCTCTGTCTGAAGTTGGGATACAGCAAGCAGAAGCTGCTGGACACTACCTCCAAGACGTCCAGTTCACTAATGTCTTTGCCAGTGACATGAAACGTGCCAAGCAGGTGATCCGTGTGAAAAGGAAAAGATGCTGCAGAATGTGTTCATGACAGGCAGGGGGTGCCTTTTAGCTACAGCTCGATTTCTGTTAGTGTGGTCAGACATGTGGCCTGTCCCAAAGCCCACACTTGCGGTTTGTGGGTTTTCGCACTAATTTATGAATTTATCAAAAGTGTGCAAGGACTGATTAAGACCATGAATGTGCAGATATGTATCGTATCTTTGTGGGGCAGACAGTGCCCTGACATTCTCACAGTGTTAACTTTCTTCGCTGATATCTTCAAAACAGCTAGCATTAGAATCTCACCAAGGCACTGAACTGTGGACTGTCCCACACTTTCAGTCCTGTGGACTTCATTTGCTTGTGCCAGTGAAGACCACAAGGCGTCTAGAGTATCGAAAACACAAAAATGTACAAAGCAACAGGGTCGTCAGCAATGCGATTGGGAATCCTTGCTGTAGCGTGTCCTATTTCTCATTTTTCCATGAAAAAGGGTGCACACAAGCGCCCACTATGCACCTTTAGTGCGGCCTTTGGCAAGGACTGCATCAATATAGGTTAGGACCACTCAAAGTGGAGGGTTGGAACAACATGGCAGACAAGAAAATATTCAAATGCAAGTTAAAATGCATTTGTTTAAGAACTTACTTTATCATTCAGCTGCATTATCTTTGTAATATGAATTGAGCCACTGTGGATGGGCAAATTTGCCCATAAATACATGGTTACATAATCAACTCAGAAGACGTGTTGGAGCCAGGCCAAACTCATTACATTAGGATCAAAGACTTAAATGGCGTGATATGATGACTCATGCCTGGTGTGACCAGACACATGAGCTAACCAGATAAACAGATGTCCTTTGTGATTTTAGGGTGACCTTATGAGAAAACTGTTACTGTTTGACTTCAGTTAAGGATGAGCTATACCACTGATTTTCTGTTTGACCTGATGCCAAGTAATACCAAGGCTAACATCCTGGTGCCAATACTGACACCGATACTTTAAAAGGGGGAATTCTTTGTGATTTTTACAGTGCAGACTAATAAAAATTATTAAATAAACTACCACATAAACTTACTGTTTAGGGAAATAACTCCAAATGATCTGCCATTAGAGCATTCACTGCATCTAAAGTGGGGCTGTCTGTGCCTGTGTAAGAACCAGAGGGAGGGGGCAGAAGAAAAAGTAGCTCCTATCATACACATTTATTTGCTCTGATCTTTTTCGTAATCAATTTAATAATACTGATGTATATTCAGTTTACTGCTTTTAGTAAACATGTAGAATTGATATTTTCATGTGAGGACGGATTTTCAAAAATAAACGTCAGGATCGCATGTGTTGATATTTCAGTATCGCTCTGTCCTTCCCTACTTTCAGTGTCACACCAGCAGATTAAATTAGCAGTTTACGATGTTTTATCTGTGAGTGTATGTGCTGAAACTCTTCAGCATAGTTTATACACACTGGAGTTACTGTGTGTTTTATGGCATGAATGATGCAATTATAGTTGGAGGTGTGGTGGCTCAGATTATAAGGTTACACACCCTGAACCAAAGGGTTGTTGCTTCACACCAAAGGGTGATATCATGGTCCCGCAAGGCTGCATGCTGAATCATCTGTCCCCTTCCTCTTATCACTGCCACTGTGCCCTTGAGCAAAGCACATCTATAGAACATGTTTGAATGGTCTGTAACTTCAGTTAGTCAGGTCTGTCTTGCTTAATCCTTCTGTTATCTTTAAATTTACTAAAATCTTTATCCTTGGGGTAAATTTGACCCCAGCAATTTAAACATCTAGAAAATAATTAAAATTGTTAACCACATTTGTGTCAGGTACTTTGTTTCTTTGCAGCTGTCATTCATTTATTTAGAGACGTTAAACATTGAACGGGGTCAAATTGACCCCAAAGATAATAGGTGGGTTAATGTAGGCTATATTAACTGCCAACTGGGCTAACTGTATCGTCTAAAAATAGACTTTCCTTGACCCCTGCTTCTTTATGATTCATTTGTTGAAATTTGTACTGATAGTGTTGTAGTCGAGACCAAGACTGGGACACGTCAAGTCAGTGTCACGACTGATACATGGACTGGCCTAAACCAAATTAAACCAAAAAAAAATAAAAAATGAAATTTGTTTGTAGTTAATTGTACATTTATTATCATTACTTATATATCATATATACTAATACATTGTTATATTTCGTAAAATATACCAGTAAATATATAGCCAAAAACATTACTACATTGTCTTTTACACTGTTAAAAATGAGAGGTCAGCTTAACTCCAAATATATAATAGATACAATAACTGATTACATGGCTTTTCTTAGTTGACTCAACTTGAGGACACAAGACTTCACCCAACTCAAACTCTTTAGCTGAGTCTTAATTCTTTAGTTCTGCATCTCAGTTAGGAAAATGAAACAAATTTGTTTTTTATACTCAATTTCCCCAGACAGGACTACATCACATTATCCTAGACATTTCTTCCTCTTGGGTACACAGTTATGGATGGCTATGGCATTGCTGAGCTTCAAACTCACATCCTCCTGTTGGGTTGTTGGTTTAGTCTGATGCACCACTCAAGAACACATGTAGCAACTCAGATTTTGTGTCCATAAATGTTTGAATTGGGTGAACTCAAGTTGAGTCAAAGTCAAGAAAAGCCATGTAATCAGTTACTATATAATTTTAAGTTGAGCAGACGTCTCATATTTTACAGTGTAAATATTACAGTAATAATGACTGTTGGGGGAAGAAATTAATGATAATACTTGGCCACATAAAAAAAGCTAAATACAGCAGAAAATAGCCAATTATGTTAAGTATAATTATGTTCTATCAGCAGATTTGTGTAGAGAATGTAATATGTGTAACAATGTAATTTGAACAGTGAACTACAGTTCTCAGTAACATTATTATTATTCTTTTGATGCTAGTTAACATTTTCCATGTAAGGTGGAACTCCTTATCAGAAGTCACCTTATCACCTTAACAGGTGATGGAATAAAGAAAGTAATCTTTGTTGTTACTCATTTTAAACGGACATTGAAACTTCCGTCTGTTTCAGTCAGTTTTTGTCAGTTTTGTTTGTTTTCCTGCTTCTGTCTGTATCCTAGCAACGCATCTGCAGAGAGTTTATTACACAGAGAGAGGAATGTTTTATTATGTTTACTCTGGTTTTATTGATAATAATAATTCAGCTTCTAGTTACCTCAGATGGAGTCCACCTTACCCCGAGATCAAGACAAGACTGAGTCCCGTGATATCGAGACCGACACTGCTTGTTTATGGTCTCGAGTCCCAACTACAGCACTGTGTACCAATTTGAATTTTACTAGTCTGGCCTGCTATTTGCAGTCGTCATGCAGATCTAGAAGAATGGCCCCAAGATTCTTGCCCAACCCATCAAAAATACATTGTGCGGCCTGTCTGACATTACCCCTTTACGTGTTCCCCAGGATATAGATGAGAATATGCAGCTAACGCATTTCCCTTGAAAAATAAATAGTGAAAACAAATGGCTGTAATCACAGTCACATGAACAGTGGCTTAAGACCTAAATTAACTGACTCTGCTGTGCATGTGTTCTACATTACAGACGGCTGAAATTATTGTGCGGAAAAATAAGACATGCAGTGATTTACACATTGTTACTCATTCATCGCTTAAAGAGAGGGTAAGTACAAAAGTCTTCAGCCTCATTACATCTGAAAAAAATGATATGTTTTATTTTATTCAACTTTTGTTTACCAAAGTAGTTATAATGAGGTTATAAACTTCTTGTACGAGTGAACCAATAAAATCCTGTAATTGAAGATCTGTAAACACTCTTATGAAACTTCCAAAGAGGAGTCAAACCTCCTGGACGTGAAAGTTCTGTTCTAGTATATCTGATTCAGAGAATGATCAGCCATGCATGCTATTGATCCACTGAAAATGGACTGGTGAAAGGCTTGAGCTGTAGTGTTTTGCAGAGCTTTGGTGTTGCCGAGGGAGGCCGTGTGGAGGACATGAAGAACATGGCTAAAGCAGCAGGCCAGCCAATCCCAGAATACACTCCACCAGAGGGAGAGACCATGGATCAGGTGCGTGGGAGTGGGGGCAGGGCTGGCACCACACCTCCAATAGTAGTGGGGCAAAAGGTTCTGGTTGTAAAAATAAATATAAAAAAAATTGTGACTAAAATGCAGGCTTGCAAAACAGTGGCTGACTGAGTGAGGGAAAAGCAGCTTTCTCAGACTAACTGACTGAAACTTTCATATTGGCTTAGTAGAATCTGCTCTATATATAATGACTGTAACATAATAATAAGTATATATTATAATGATAAATGTTTCATGTCCAGATTTTTTGTTTTGGGGTTCACTGGGCTTAACTCAGATAGATAATTTTGCTACCTTAATCTAGATTAGCATGTTAGCAGTAATATTTTACGTAGTATGAGAACATAAAATGTGCTGTATGTATGTGTGCATAAATATTAGCTTATGTATCGCAGTATAAATATTTACCAAAGTGATTCTCACTGAATAGTTTTTATACAAACATTGAATTAAAAAAATATCATTGTACTTAAAGTTTTCCATGACCTTCTCTAAATGTGCCACTTTTGTTTTGCTGGTGCATTGTGTCTGTGCCAAAAGTATCTATCTATGTGTGTCTGAAGTATCATGATGTTATTTGTGCCATACTGCCTTCCATTAGAATGATTACAGAGATTGTTTTCCTCTAAGGTGAAGGTACGGATCAGCACGTTCCTTAAAGCCATGTTTCAGCAGATGGCTGACGACCATCGAGACAAAATACAGCTGGATGAGGAAACCCAGCACGCCGAAATGGACGGTCCTCTCGCAGGTCGCCCGGATGATGGCGTCCAGAACGTTCCTGCTCATGCCCTTGTGGTGACCCATGGTGCCTACATGCGGGTGGCGGTGCGGTATTTCATCGAGGACCTCGCATGCTTGATGCCTCTCGGCTCGGACAGGATTCGGGTGTTTTCAGCCTGCCCCAACACAGGAATGTGCCGATTCATTGTGACTCTGAAATGTAGCGACAGTGACATTTTGCTCTCCAGCATGAAGTGTGTATTTGCCAACCGGAGAGACCACATCAAAGCTGAGGGCACTTAAGTGAAAGACCATAAACGGAGAATGTGTAGCTGTGAAGTGTTTACAAGTCCTATTTATTTCATGTAAAAGAGCAATATGCAGCACTCCTGCCTGAAATGGTCTTGCAATAAAGTTTCATGGTCTAAATTACCAAACTTTTAGAAGGAATGTAAATACCCATAAAACATAAATGATTCAATCAGAGGGGAAGTTGATCACAATATTTCAGTTCAAAACACAGAATTTGGATTTAAACCTGTGTTTTCTGTTGATCACTGAAATGAAAGAGTTAAAAGACTTGCTTTATATTTCCCTAAAGTGTGGCAGAGATGGCGTAGGTCCCTGTAATATTTGACAAAGGAAAGCACTGAATTACAATGTTTGTCTGAATGATCATTAAAATGGATTTGATGTCTAAATGTTTTATGGCAGATGATCTAAAGTAATATATTTTAAACTTCAGTGGACTTTGTGAAATAACTCAATCAATTAATGTGTTCGTTGTCTACTGAAGAAAACGGCCTTGACACTTAGCTGTATAGTCAAGACAGCAGCCGATATAAGGTGTCTAATAAGCAGTGATTTCAAAGTGTAGCTCTATCAGAAATGTCATTAACTTTGCGAGACCAGTTGGAGCCAGTATGGTCTCTTACCTTTTGCCGGGTTAGTTGTTTTTGGTGGTTGTTCAGTAATTTTTATTGACTTTAAATGCTACCCTGAACTGTCTGTGGGCTTTAACTTTAAACCTTCTTGAGACAGCTTGTTCTTGTTTGAAATATAATTATTTTAGACATTGCTCTGGACATATATCCTATTTTTGTGAGTGGCACACAAGCAGTTTTGAGCAACTAGCAGTTTTGTCTTTCCTATTAAATATTTGTTGGACGTTTCTGACTACTTTTAAATTACTTTTTATAACAAAAAAATCAGTTAAAATAAATACAAGCTTTTTAGTGATTTAGTCTTAGAACATGACCCCCTTTTTATCTGGGTAGGCGGATATCTATAGATGGTCGGTAAGGATTGGTCTGACTCATGAAAAAATGCCTTTGACATCTATTAAGCCAATCCCAAAAACACTGTTTTGAAGTTCATATTTACTTCTACTTCCATGTGATCATAAACTTTTATTACTCACTATTCAAATGTTACTGATTCACTATAAGAGTAGGCACCACTGGTCATATGTCACTTTAAATTCTCTGTTTTTATAGTTCCGTTTAAACACAGCAGATATGATAAATGTGATGACTCAGGAGAGCAGTTTCGTTCCATTATTCTGAACCACCCAAGTGGCATTACAAAGTTTACATGGCTCCAAGGACAGTGAGGTACAGTACATTACTACACAGTGACCAGCAGACATTTCTGTTCTTGCTTTTAGTAACTTGGGTGTTTTTTTTTGTACTTTCCTGTACTGAACAGCTGTTAGAGTCATCCCTGTATTGTATGTTATCATATGTGCTCTAATAGCTAATTTTTTTGGATGGGAAATTCATAGTAAAGTTGTTCAAATGAACTTGCATCAGCAAAAGTTCAGCGAGTTAAGACTTCACCTAATGGGGAAAGTGCAGGTGCTTTTGTTTGTTTAGGCCCAGAGTCAATTTCATTGCATAATCATAAATAAGAAAAGCCTCATATTATCAGTATCATCAGTATTGACCTAGTTCTGCCTGTCCAAGCATGTGCCATGTTTTGTTTTTGTCCAATGTCCAGTTGGAGGTCTACAGCAACTTTGGCGCACAACTGTTTAGGGTTTTGTGACCATGACTTATGCCCACCACAGCATGTTACATAGATGCCGCCACTAAAATGGCTTCAGTTGCTTCCAATGAGTGTTAATCAGAAACTGATGCACAAATATGTGAGAAGAGAAAAGCCACCGAAAAGAAATGATCAAAACACTAATGTACAATCACCAAAACAGGACAAAGTTTTGTTTTATTCTTGGACAACACTCATGATACGGTAAAAGAACAGTTTGTGTCAGGATCTTTTGGAATGCACTTAAGTTTACCACAAAAACTACAATTGCACAAGTTCCATGAGTGCAAATCAGCCAATAATTTGTTCACTGCACTAAGCAACGTCCAACAAGCTACTAATATGAATATGAAAGAAAGAATATAGGCATTATTTTCGCTATATCTAGGAAAAATATAGCAAAAAAAAACAAAACAACTACTTCATTTAAGCATTATTTAGGGATATTTATAGTTTACTCAAGTGTTATTGATAGTAAATACTTTTACTAAATTATATTTCCAAGAGAAAAAGCATACTTTGTACACTAAATAATCCAGATGGTTAGTCGATCACATTAAGATCCACAGCCTCTACCGTTTACTTAAACGAAGGCTTGCCTTGCCGCACTGCTAACGTTAACGTTCTGCGCGCGCACAAAACCACACCCTCCTTTAAAATTCAAAAACAAACAGAAATTTAACGGACAAGTGCGAGCCAACCGTCACTGAGGAGGAACCCATACAGTGTAGGTTAAGTAGTTCTGTTCTACTGTTAGTTATGCTTGGCTTTATTATACTGAACGTATTATTACCAAACTATAGCAACATCTCTCCCAAGTAATACTGAAATAACCTCCGCTAAGGGTAATTTATCGTGACCTACCACTTTTAGTGTCGGCTGACTTTTCTGTGTAACCAGTGGGGCTAGCTAGTAACGTTAGCCTAGCATGGTTACCATAATGAGGTGAACACTAACTAAATGTATTTTAATTGTAACGTTGTTTTGTTCTAGGCGGTTGAAACAGTGGAGTAATAACAAGAACATCTCAAACAATTCAAGTGGTGAGTACTGTTGGCATATCCTAGCTCAGTAACGGCTAACGTTAAATAGCTGACTGAGGCCCTTTGGGTCATTGTCCAGTATTTATTTTATACCTACATGTAATGAAAACATTCAAAGTAAGCAGCTTTTTCTGTCGATAGAGTTCATTTAGCCCCCGAAACTCTTTAAAGTTACCTTTTGGCTTTTACAAATTTGTAATCAAAGTAAGCGCCTAACCTTCACAAAATATTATTTTCCACCTCAGGCTGTCAAATCAGACACTTTATGAGCTGTTTTTTATTCCTAAAATGTACAGTATTGTTTTGCAACCTTGTTACCAGTTTTTAGGGAGATAAATAGCATTTAAAAGCCTGTGTTAAATGAATTCATTATTGCATAGCAATAAATGCATATATATTTCTGAAATACTTTACAAATAATGTGTCTCCAAAATGGTAACTTTACAGGAGAAGCAAGAAACCTACTTTACTTTTAATGTAAGTCAATGGAATCAGACCTGTAGGCATTTTCAAATTATGTCAAAAACTGAAAAATGGAGATGAGGTTTTGTTCCGACAGCAGCTATATATGTGTATATATATATATATATATGTGTGTGTGTATATATATATATACTCTATTTGCCAATTTTCATAACATAATAGGGTTAAAATCTGGGTTGAAGCGAGTTAACAGGGTTGAACACAGAGATCATATCATTGCCCATTAAGTAAAGATTAATGCAGCAAAAAAGAAAAATAAAGTATACAACATAAAGCAGAAGTAAAAGTTGAAAAATTGTTTTAATCGAAATGTTTTCATTAAAATCTTTGTTTCAAGCTGTTTTCATTTCTTTTCATTTAAATAATTGTTGGTTAAAAAACAGTTAACAGAGTTGCGAAATTGGAATAAGCTAGCATTCTGGGGTGGTTAGCTTGACATCCTTTTTTTAACAAAAACTTGTTAAAAGTTAGGGTTGAGTGCCAAACCAGTTTTTGTGTGTAAATTAGAAAACAGAATGAGAATAGAAAACGCCTCTCATCGTCATTCTGCAATTCCGCAGTTCCATTTTTTTTTACAAAGGGGAACAGGCATGGGTAACAGAGTTACGGCTAAAATGTGGGACACAGGTTAAGATGACTTTTTTTGTTGTTGTTAAAAAATAATTAGGGAAAAATTATTCTTTCAACACTATATTGCATGTAAATGAACCAAATAACATTGTAATTATGATGTTACTGGAAGGTTTTAATGAATGTATTTCATAGAGAAGTTCAATGTCAGTGAGGTGGGACAGGCGAAAATCACCATATTAAAGGTGAATTCAGACATTGTGATCATTTAAATGCTAATTTAAATAATTTTATTTCAAAATAAAGTACAGATCCTTTTGCTTTTCACAGAAATAAACAACAGCGGTCACTTTATTGCTTTTAAAAAGATAACGGAACATAACTGAACTCTTTTCATGGAAAGTGCCACGTAGAGTTCAGTGCTTTCATCGAACGTACATCAAATACACTGCTAACAGTAACTGCCAGCTGCAGATCTCAGTGTCAGTCACTCGCCCAAGTACCTATTCACAAAAAGTGTTTTTTGGGAGCTCCGGAGGAAGACGTTTGCCTCAGTGACCCTGCAGAACTGAACAGCATCAAAATATTGGGAAAAAATTCATAATAAGCCAGTTTGCAAATGACACAGTTTTATTCTTATACCCAAAGCAAGCGAGGCAGTTAATTCCAAAAGGATCAGGATTATGGTTAAATATTAACAAATGAGAATTCTTACCAATTCATTCCTGCAGCGCCAATATGTCGTGTAACATTCCAGTTAAAAGTGAAAAATCTAGGAATTGTTGTCACCAAAGAAGAAGCCTTAAGAGCGAGTCTAAATTTTGATTTGGAAAGATGAAGAAAACCTTAAATCAAGAGTTTTTACCCATAACTTCACACCTCATAATTCTACACTATGGAATAATTGTAATTTAATAATTTGGAATGGTTTTCCAAAAATGTAGTTTTTGTGACTGATCTTTTGGATTGTAATTGTTTATTTCTGCCTCATACTGAATTTATCAACACATTTCATTAAAAACTTAAAGAAGAGATTATATTAAGGTTTTCAATGCTGTTACGCTACCTCTTTTACGTTTAATACAAAACGGCCAAATACAGTCACTTCAAAATGAATTTACAATAAATGAGGAGATTAGATTGTTAGCTGTGCTCTGCCAGTTGTCATTACAACAAAGTAAACACTCACCATGAATTACTTGTATATGAGAACGTACTTGGCTAAAAAGGGCTTATAATCTTGATTAGTGGTTTTAATCTTAAATCCTGAACACAGTTCCGTTCTGAAAACCACGGCAGGTTGTAAGTAGTTCAGTTTTTTAAAGAGAAGAAATGTATATATGGGCTGTTTTAGATTTATTCATACAAAGACTTTTATCTTGACGAGCCTGAATACAGGTGGAGTGGTGGGTATTTCAGAGTAGAGCAGAGGGCTGTGTATTTAGCTGTTAGTGCTGGAGAGGCTGTGTTTCTTCTCACCGTGTTGGGTGCTGTTTTCAGCTGTAACCTCGAGTTGTCTAAGCTTCTCCCTAGAACCCCAAACGTTACAGTATTTTGCAGTTCTTTATAGATAGCTTACATTTAGCCAAAAAAGAAAAAACCTAGCACGAATACCTGCATTCCAAAATTAAAAGCTGAATACCTACCCAACGAACGAATATAGTCGAATATTCGGTCCAGCCCTAATTGATTTTATAAGTAATAATGCTTATTTGAACCTGCGTTTCTATGGTATAGCGTAAAATATGACAATGATTTAAACATGTAATAAAAGGAAACAAAGTACTGTCTTTTCAGCAATGATGTTTGCTTCTGAAAATGTATTTTAGATTAGAACGCAGATTGCTAAGTAAGTTCTTCTGTGTTTGTCTGACTGCTTGATGACTTGGTGATGTATTTATGCCACACATGTGCCGTGGAGTCCTTACTGCAGCCAGACTCCTCCACACACTGGCTATAAACATTGTTCAAAAGACTGCAACCGTGACAGTGAAGCTCTGATCGGTCAGCCTGATTTTGAGAGCATCCATTCAATGCAGAAAATTCTTGACTTGTTTTGAAAAATGTATGCAGTGCCACAGTCCGTCAGTTTCAGACTTTTATGTGAAAGACGGTATTAATGCACTTGTGTTTGTTTTCAGAACTTGACATGCACTTTTTTCTTTTACAAAATCAGACATGATGCTAAAGGGTCTTTAAAGCTGCGAATTTCAAGAGTGTGGCATCCATCACGGGCTGTAATGCTGTAAGTAGCTTAGGGGGTTTGTCCGTGCAAAATGGCTCTTGGGAAGCGCCACACTCTCGATGTGAAGAACAATTATTGTTGCTGTTTTTGCTGATGTTGTGTTGTTATTAGAGTAGTTGTGTTAATTATTGTAATTGTGACCAAGTAGGGAGGGTTTACAGTGTGTTAGAGGTGTCTATCCTCCTTGTATGTTGTGTCCACTAGCGTTACCCCCTCCCTGTGTTTAGTGTTGGAGTAGTGCTGGATTGGGCAATTCTTCTTGAAGTTCCTGTTTAAAATAAAAGAGCATTTTCCTGTACGCACAATGCTTTCCGTGCCTCCGTCTATGCTGACGCTACAATAGCAACACAGCTGACCTTCTCTAACTTTGCTTTCTACATATACACAAACTTGCTGTTTTTATGTGCATATGTATCAATTCAGTTTTCACTAGTTAAGAGATGGATTCTGACGTGTTATAGTAGGAATCTCAACATCTTATCTGTCAAATCTCGTATTTACTAGTATAACTAACACTTTTACTTGTTCAGATTAAATTTGTGATATAAAAAATGTGGAGTAAGAGCTAAAATGGCTTTCCATAGAGCCAAACTCTTATCTATCATCCACTAAAAAAATCAAACACTACCTGATGTGACTACAGCTTGAGGTACAAAGCTGTTGATAAGAGGGACACAATTTTTAGTGAAAAGATCAGAGCGTCAAAATGGATTTATTATTTTAACAACAAATAATTCTAAAACTTGACATTAAATCTGTTATTGAGTAGTAGTAGCAGTATCAAAAGACATCTCACATTTAGGATGATGAGTGGCTAGATCTCTTATTGTTGAGCATCTAATTAAAGATATTAAAAGAAGTTATTAATTACAGTCATGCCTACCAAAACTCAGCAGTGAGTGCCAGGCTATAGGTTTTTTCTTTAAGCATACAGCAAAAGCATTACATGGCTTTGTGTACTGTTGGGTGCGCACTCCGACAGTAGCGGATCTGAAATTAAATGTGAAGCTTCTGACGTGGAGTCAGCATAGCTCCACTACTTAAAAAATAAAGAAAAGAAAGAATGCTGAAAAAAACGTAACCTTAATAAAGTGATAGTAGGGTGCGACCAATGCCTGTAATCCCAAGAAACAGAGTTTTGTTTTTGGTGATGTAATCTCTGGCTATTGAACTCAAGGTCGTATAAAAAGAATCACACTGTAGAAACGTGAAATACTGTTGTTTAAATGTTAACTTATTAAAGTGGGTGAAAGGACAAATAGACACCGACCTACTCTGCCTCACCTACAGGGGTGAGAAAGTGGACTTCTGTAGCATTGGACGTGCAGACATGGATGACGTGGTGGACGTGTAGCATTGTAAAGGTTGTGGTGTCTGAGACTGACCGTTGCTTTGTGTCAGTGTATGGAGAAAAAAAAGCCTGCTAAGGTGCAGTGAAAGATCGGGATGTTCAGCATCTGACATTTCTGTTTCCTGAATTTAGATTGGAATTTTTATTTTGCTAGTACATCTTTTTTTTGTGTAAATAATCAGGCTGAAATGATGTATCTCTTTATGCCAAAGAGCACAGATCTATGCAGCCTGTTCTTGTACATTAATGGCATTTGCATTTTTGTTATTAGCTGAGGTGTCTAACTGTCTTTTGGAGTCCTAGCATAACTTTTTATTTTTCACATTCAAAGTACAGAAGAAGCCGTTGGTTTGGTTCTTCAAGAGGAATATATTCCTGTGGTTTCAGACAGAAATATCAACAATCTAATCAATACATATAATTTTATCTGAAATCAAATAAACCAGAGACTTACCTTTAGAACAGTAAGTGGTTCTCAGTGAGTTTGTTCTCCATGAAATAGCTGGTATTTCGTTGTGACTCGTCTGTGAGCTTCAGTATCTTTATGTGCTTCAGGGACACAGTAAAGTTCTTCAGGTGAAATTGCATCAGCAAAAGTTCAGTGAGTTAAGACTGTACCTAATGGGGAAAGTGCAGATGTCTTTGTTTGTTTAGGCCCAAAGCCAATTTCATTGCATAATCAGGAATAAGAAAAGCCTCATATTATCATCAGTAATGACCCACTTCTACCCTGCCAGGTGTGTGCCATATTTTTTTGTGTCTACAGCAACATTGACACATATGGTCTTGTAACCATAGCCGTGAAGGGACACACCATGTTACATGTCTGCTCTCTTTAAAATGGCTTCACTGCCTTCCACTGAGATATTATTTACTTACTTGGCTAATTTATTCTTTTGGCCAGTTCATTGAACTGATCACCAAAACCAATTGCTTTGTTTCTAATACACTTATTACATGGTTAATGGCTTTTTATAAGAGAGTGCGACTTGCACAACACTTTTTATTATGGCAAAAGAACGGTTATTGGCATGGTGTAAAGCCACATTTTCTCTTACTGTTAAGATGGCCTTTTAGTCATAATCATCATTATAGTCATCTTCACAAGTGTTAAATACAAGTATAGCTTGGGCTTAGAGTTCAATACTGACTTTTGTGTGATTATTAAGTGGTTAGGATGAGGCATCAGCTCACTTCTTGGTGGCATTTTGATTTTGACCTTGACCAATTTAAAGGCCAAAAAGTTTCTGGGCAGAATTCTATAGTATAGTAGTATTTTCTTAAATAAATTAACACTGGAGACAAAAAGTCTCACAGCACAGTAGAAATATATTACTCCTGCAAGTGCCACTTGTTTGAAGTCTTTCCAGGTAGTATCTGTATCGATGCCATGCACAAAGAGCACATATGAAAAACGAATAAAGGTTGAAATTTTTATTTATTTTGTACAAATACAGTTGCTACCCAGCGTTATAGTGCAGAAAATAAAAAAAACACATTTGCATTTTAAATATCAGAAATAACAAATATTAAATATATTTAATTTTAAGAGTATTTGTTGAAGTCATAGCTAGATGAGACATCCATATTGTGTGGCTTCTTTAGCATTTCAGATAATAAACATCAGTACAAACGTCATAAATAACAATATATAAACACTCAAATAAATAAGTAGGTGTCCAGCACTATTAGGCATACGTAAGATAATGTGAAGCTACTGGTTAAGATGTGATCGTTGTAGAATAAAAAAAAACTTGAAAAGTAAAGCATACATATCTCAGAAGAGTGTAACATTAAATCAGACATTCACAGGTAATAAAGTATAACCAATGTCCATAATAACAAGAAACAGATTTTAGTTTTACCCATGTAATCCATTATCATAGATCTCAGACTTTCATAAAAAGAAATACACTTTAGAAACGTAAAATGCTGTTGTTTAAATGTTAACTCATTAAAACAGGTGAAAGGACAAACACACAGTAAGCCTCACCGACAAGGGTGAGAAAGTAGGCTGTGTGTGCAACATAGAGTCTGCAGTGTTTAAGAACATTTCTGCACACTGGGGTCTGATACCATAAGAATCAGTCTTACCATGATATATCTTTAGATAATAGAGAGAAAAAGTCATGTACAATGTAAGATGATAGTCCACTCAGAGTCTGCCTCTCCTGTTTTTCATCCTTTCCTGTGATGGACTTAATGGACCAGGTGAAACCACATGGAAGGGATCTTCAACAAAAGCTATGGTTTCCTTGGAAACATTACCACCATGTAGTGGTTGTCTTCTTTGATTGTTGATTGCTCTCACAACTGGATACTCGCATCCTAAGGGGTCAGATGGATCAATGTGCCAGCTGCGTCTCTTTCTACGGTTCGTATGTTTTTTATGTTGTTTTATCAAGAGGCCACTAGAGAGCTCTGATGAATTATGCGTGTGCATTTTGGCCTTCATCTGTCGTAGGATAACCAACACGTTACCCCTGCAGGACCGAAACACATCATAATGTTTGTGTCTTTTGACATAATGAAACCGGCAGTTCTCGTCGCTGTCATCCACCTGAGGATAAACATACAGACAGCATTTAACACATTAATTCCACTGTGTAAATATGTATATATGTGTTTGATGGCAGCTGTGTCTGATGTGCTAGGCAATATTACAGTATTTGTCATTGTCATGGTAAAGTACATCAATAAAAATAGTTTATAGTATTTTTAAATGTGCACCAGTAGTTCGTCCAATAGGTGTCAGAAAAAATAAATGTTGTGCTATATTGTGGATCATAAAATTGTTGTGATATTTTTGCCAAATTGCTCACTCCTAGCTGGAGAATATCAAAGATTTGAGATCTAATTTTAGCATGGTATCTGTTTTTAAAATAATAACACTGCTAATAATTAAATACAACAGTCTAGTATGTCTACATTTATGCCAAAGAATACAGACCCATGCAGCCAGTTCCTCTATTATGCTATTTACATGTACATTTGTGTTACTTACTGAAGTGTATAACTTTCTTTTGGAATCCAAACACAAGAACATCTTGCTTTTAACATTCAGAACTGAGAAGCAGCCTTTAGGTTGGTTCTCCAAGTAGGTGAAGATTTCTGTGTGACAGAGAAACATCAGTAATGACAATACATAACAACACGCATAACAAATCTGAAATCATGTGCAGACACTTACCTTTAGAACCTGGATAAATGGTTTTCTGTACTCCTTCATTGTCATTTTTCTCCATTAAATAGTCCGTAGGGCTTTTTGTCTCTGCTTGTCTGTGCTCTTCAGAGTCTCCTTCCATGACATCCGATGGTGAGGGTGCCTGTTGGAGAGGGTAGCATGTGCCTGGAGCGTGAAGTTTAAGAGCAGCCCAACAGAAGAGAAGTGCTGAGAACATGGTCAGCGTGGGTGAGACGTTGCTTACACTAGAGCGTGGAATCCCTGTGGGTCTGTATTTATTTGGGTAAAAAAAAAGGTCCAAAGTTCTTATTTGCAGACTGTAACAGAAGTGGTCTGTAATTGGCCATCTCCCATTGGAGGCTGCAACTGGGCTGACGTAACTCTGCTGTCTCTGATGCAATGTTATGAATTATGTCATCGGAATATATGTAACTAGGGGAATTCACTAGGGCGATGAAATTCAATGTAATTAAGTTTTGTTTATTTATATTTTATTTATTGTTTTGTTTTGTTCTGTTTTTTTAAACAGAAATCCAGTTCCAGACCCCTAATGAGCAAGCCAAGGGTGACAGCGGCAGAAAAAAAAACACTGAGAGGAACCGATATTCAAAAGGAGAAACTGTCCTCATTTGGGCCACTTCAAATAGGTTAGTAGATATTATTGACTGGAAATTATGGATAGAAAATTCAGTCTTTTTTGGCTAACTTAGTGATGTAGTTCAAGTGACAGAGCAAAGTTACCAAAGACAAAGTGACATTAAATTTTCATGTTCTTTTCATTTTCTATTTTGCCAGAATGTAGAAGGGAGCAGAGGAAACGTTGATAACAGTGTCTGACATTTCTTACAGAAAAGAACAAAATGTGGTTAAAACACTGCTTAAATTATTTAAATGAAAAATGTATAACAGTCTCAAATTTCCTATCTGTGTATGGGAATCCAGTAATTACAGTCTGACCAGTTCTAACAGTAGTTGTTTCTTGTTTTCATGAATTTCATTTAGAAAAAAAAAAAAGAAAATTATTACTATTCCAAGGGCATGCGGACTCCCTTAATGCTTCTCTTACTCTGGCCAGCTGATGGCGCTCTAAGTGTAGTTTTACATGACTTTATAGACTGTAGACTTCAGAAATGTGTCAAAATAATCAAACTTAAACTTTGAACTAGTCTTACTTGTACGTAAAGAAATCCAGAACACATTGCTAAGTTGAATTATTAGCCACAATCATATGAGTGTATAAAATACAATAAAAAACACAACTAAAAAACAAACTTTTATTATCATCTCAGTAATACAGTTGACTGCTGTGCACAGCACATCCGTACAAAAATAAAAGGAAAACATTTTCTTAATATATTAGAACTCTGACTCATTATTATTTTTTTTTTCTCAGAAACAAAATGATTGGAGAAAAGTTTGTCGTCTTACAATCATTTCAACAAATCGGAACTAAGGCAGAAGGTGAGGTATATGTAAAAAAGGAGGGGAATTTGGAGGAAGCACAGTCCCCTCAGTGCAGGAATACAAAACTAGGAGAGAACACTACAAGAGCCTGTAGACATACAGGAACACACACACATGCACGACCCTTCACTCTCTAGGATCTCTCACGCCACGGGGGGCACCATTCCAAAGCTGCAGATACAGTGAGTACAGTACAAGAAATCCAGTAAAACTTGCAAGAGACAGCCATTTTTGTAGCTCTGTGATCAATTCATCTACTATTATAAGAGGCTTTATCTTCTACATACAACATGTTTGTTTACAATTATGCACTGAAACCATGCTAGATGCCATTTGTACCTCTTAATGTCAACATCAGCAATATCATTGCTGTCCTTGAACAAATGGAAACTGGTGATCAGTATTGATAAATTAAAATGACCAGTCACATACATGAAATTGAAATTATTTAGATTATTTTTTAACAGTCATATTGCATGCCTATATTCGGATACGAAGAATTAAGAAAGCATAGTTGTCTAGCTACTAGAGCCATCTTGACCAGCACTTTATAGAAAGCCAAAAGAAATTATTACAGCTATCTTTGCATTTTGGACTACTTAGTATAAAATGTACACAATATTTTTCCTTTTCGTCATTATGATGACCCACTACCAGAGTCAAGGACTTTTATCTGGCATTCTGCTACGCCATTTTGCTGCTTTACCCAGTGCTTGGCGTCAGGGGCATTAATGCAAGACAGGGCGAAATTAGACAAAGCCAGGTGGCTCCTTGCGCCATGTACACCATGTAAGTCGATCTGTTCCCAACAGAACTGTGGGTGCTGCAGGCAGAAACACTAGCGAGCAGGAACTCTCTGGGGCTGTTGCTCCCTGCAAGTGCCCTGCAGAAGCTTCTGCTCTCACAGACCTTCCTGTATGAGGGATATCACAGCAAACTGCTGATAATCTCACTTGCTGCAGTCACACCACAAACGCTATCACATCATTCAAAACGTTACAGCTTGTTCAAGCTATAAAATCACAAATGGGTTGCTTCCCCACTTCATCTTTAACATTAATGCATGCAGTGTTTTGGAGAATAAATCAAGGAGGTGGTAGCCTACTTTTTTTTAAGTAGTTCATATGATATGTGTAGTGTAGGCCGTTGGAACAGTTCTAAAAATATTTTTAAAGTTTAAATACTCTAATACCCTGACTTCAACTCTAAAGCTAATGAAATGATTTGATTCAATGTTGCTTGAATTTTGTTGACTAGGTTCTTATAGCACAGTCTCTTAATTTCGGCGATGTGTTCTGGTATCCGTGCAAGTGCCTAGTATTCAAACAAATAGACAGTTAAACAGTCTAAACCATGAACAGACAATCCCATTGGTTTTTACATTCCAGAATCTGAGGTGAAGTTTGACATTGTGTGTGCGATCGGAATTTAGTGACACCAAAAGTAGGAAGTCCATTTAACTGTCTAATAGCAACTTAGACACCAATGTGTACTAATAATGTAACCTATGACAGTAAAAGCAACAGACACACAGAAGATCCTCGTTGTCTAAATGTTAGTTTTTGTAGTCTGAGATGTTGGTTAGTTTTCTCAGACTAGTTAAATGAGCAAAGTTTCCTTATCATTAAGAAAAATAACCACACTAAAACCTATCTTGGCTTAAGGTGCATCAAATGCCAAGATCAACTCGATTCCCTTTCGTTAACTTGATACTTCACAAACACAACACAGGTACAGTTCTGAGGTCACTGGCTATGCTAAAGAAGTTCAAACAAAAGCACCCTGATCCCCCTTTAGGATCAGCAGTCATCAGAAAGACCCCAAGTTTCAAACATTCCTTATTATGGAAGATAAAGGGGTCTTCCTCAGCTTTAGCTCCCAATGCATATGCATGCAAGCTCTGCCAATTCACCGATTCTTCAAAAGTTTACTGATAAGAATTGAAGTGCTACCTGCAGCCCTCAAGGAATTGGGCTAAAGCCCCCAGAGAGGGCAATCTCTGTTTCTAACAGTAGGATGTCTTTCTTGCATGCAAGTTTAAAAGAAGCCACAGTTTAGGAAGCTAAGGCACCACCATGCAAGAAAGGAACACAACAGTCTCAGGTGCCCCTATTCTTCTTGCAAAATGGTGGAACAGATGAAGATTGAAGTAAACAGATATTTCTTTCCTTTTTTCCCCTGTGCAACTCATGCACACATTTTCAGTCCAGACGTGGCTCTGTGAGGTAATAAAATGTATCCATTACACTTCTGAAAGCTGGAGATGTTAGTAATTCCGAAGACAGGGTAAGGTTTACACACCAGTTATGGCAAGCACCCATAAAAAGTGAGAGGGGGCAAAAAAAAGCTCCTCTGCCCTCAAATAATCATAGAAATGATAAGCAGCAAAGAATGGCATTTACACAAAGTTCAGACACAAAGTTAGCTATCCAAATATACATATATTTTGTTAACGAGAATAAATACTATGTTAAGTGTTTAGTTTCTTTTGCAGTTCATCTCTTGCTGTGAACGTATGTATAAGTTACCTGTGTGAATGTCCAACATGTGCAAAATGAGTGAGTTATTGCCAGTGTTGCTCATAATCGAGGGAGGAAATGCGTGACAGTCATAGCCGGAGTGGCCTTGTAGCCTCTTTTCTGACGGCCATGTTTGCTCAGGGCGATGTAGAAGCCCTTATATGTGGAAGACTCATAGGCATTGTAGTTGTTTGGAAGCAATGTCTCCTTGAACTTGCACTCGTCACGGAAGACGCTCTAAAAATGGTAAAAAAGAAACGGTTAGTTGAAAATAACCCCCTATAGTCTCCACTAAGGACCCTCAGGACACTGCACGTCCTAAAACGAGCCCATCCCGTATTTTCATATTCTGTCCAAACTGTTTTGAGCAGAAATGAACTGGCTGATTACTTATCAATTAATATTTCGGACAGTAAATACAAATCCCAAAATATACACAGTTCCCCTCTGCCTTTATTTTCTCTCCTGAGCCAATGATAGGGTCACATTTCAACACATTTAATGAACAAAGCTGCCTAGCTAACAATAACAATAATATTAAATGTTAAACTGAGATTTTATTGTTCTTTGAATAATATATGCCCATTTTGAATTTGATGCCAGCAACAAGTTGAGACAGGGGCAGCTTTACCACTGTGTTGCATCATTTCTTCTTTTAACAACACCCTGCAAGCGTTTGTGAACTGAGGAGACCAACTGCTGTAGTTTTGAAAACGAAATGTTTTCCCATTCTTGCGTGATATAGGATTTGAGCTGCTCAACATTTCGGGATCTCCTTTGTTGTATTTTTAGTTTCATAATATGCCAAATGGTTTCAGTGGGTGGCAGGTTCTGGACTGGACTGGACTAGTTTAGCACCCAGGCTCTTTTACTATGGAGCCATGCTGATGTAATACGTGCAGAACATGGTTTGACATTGCCTTGCTAAAATAAGCAAGGCCTTCCCTGAAAAAGACGTTGTCTAGATTGCAGCATATGTGGCTTCAAAACCTATATATATATATATATATATATATAGTTCAGCATTAATGGTGCCTTCACAGCAAGTTACCCATACCATGTACAGTAATGCACCCCCATACCATCACAAATGCTGGCTTTTGAACTGTTTGCTGAATGGTCCCTCCCCTCTTTAGGCAGGGGGATATGGCATCCATGATTCCAAAAAAGAATGTCAAATTTTGATTTGTCGGCCCACAGGACACTTTTCCACTTTGCCTCAGTCCTTTTTAAATAAGCTCGGGCCCAGAGAAGGTGGTGACATTTGTGGATCCTGTTCATATATGGTTTCTTTTTTGCATAGTTGAGTTTTAACTTGCATTTGTGGATGCTGCAACAAACAATGGTTTCCAGAACTCCTCTGGAACCCATTCAGTGATTTCCTCTACAGAATCGTGTCTGTTTCTAATACAGTGCCGCCTGAGGGCCTGAAGAGTCACGACCATCTATGGCCATCCAATCTTATCCTTGTCCCTTGCATACAGATCTTTCCCTGGATTCTCTGATTATTTTAATGATATGTACCGTAGATGATGAAATCCCCAAGTTCTTTGCTATTTTACGTTAAGAAACATTAAGTTGTTGCTATTTGCCTGTACAGTCTTTCACAGAGTGGTGAACCCCTCCCCATCTTTACTTCTGAAAGACTCTAGGATGCTCTTTTTATACCCAATCATATTCCTGACCTGCTGGCAATTAATCTAATTTTAATAAAGTATTTTTTTTGTTTGTTTTTAAGCATCACACAGCTTTACCGGTCTTTTGTTGCCTTGTCCCAACATTTTTTGAAATGTGTTGCTGGCATCCATTTGAAAATGGGCATATATTTTTAAAAAAAAACAGCATTCTATGTTTATTTACATTTTAAACAGCCCAACTTTTTTGGAAAAAGCATTGTATTTTAAAAAATAACATTTCCTGCAGATGTTAACGTGCAGTTAAGTTGCAGTTAATGTGCACTTTTATCTGAGAACTTCCTTGTTTCCCTTAACTCCTTTTTTATGATATTTCAGTCAGTGGAAATAGTGAGCTCAAAGCACTTTGATAACTTTTTATAGCCTCCCCCTGCTTTGTAGGCATCTTTTTCATTCATTTTCATATCCTCAGCCAGCTACTTAGAGCCCATGGTTGAGTATTAGCACAGGTTTTGAAGAGTCATAGAATTTACTATGGTCTGGAATCATCATCATCTGACAGTTGACCTGCCTAGACAGTCCTAACATATCAATTAATTTCGAGTTAATGAAGTTATGAGACTTTAAAACTTTTGCAAATGCCACAGTTACAGTTTTTTTTAGGTTATGAAACAAGGTAACTGCATTAACATTTACATTAACATTACATCCGGACCTAATTTGTTTTGTTGTGCACTAATCATTTGCCCTTACCAGCTAAATGTTGAATGGTATTGTTTGGGTTAAACTGTTTTTATTATTGTTGCCACAATAGTTATTAAAAAAACATTAATACCATTAATTGATCTGTCATATCAATATATAATTAATAACATAACAATAACTACTTAATTAGTAGACAAAAGTTACATTGTCTTTTGTCAAAGATTTGTGCAATAAAAATAAACTGTTTTTCCAGTTTATTTCTGCTGTAGGTTTATTTTTCATCATACTGTACATGCTAAACTCATGCACATATGTGGTTTACAGTAAATGGACATTACTCTTAATGGACATTGTTATTAATGTTTTAAATGGCTAAGTGTTTTCCTCCAGTGGAAAAAAACTAATAAGAAAACATAAAAGACATTAAATGAATATATACATACATTCATGCAACAGAAGCCATGCTACTGCATGGACAGATGTGGATAGCGATATATAATATTTGTGTATTGGTGCCTTTCTTTCTCATTACATGCATGATATCAGTGAAAATGTCAACACTGACATATTGGGCTGAAATGCATGATGTCCTCAAAAGAAAGAGACTTTCTGACCTTTCTGCTATGGACAGTTTGCACTGGTGGTACGATCGGGCCTACTTATGACATTCGACATGAGAGCTGCTAAAGTAGGTCAAATCCAGACTCAGGCCATGCATAACATTAATGTCTCACTCCATTATAAATGGCTTGACATGTCGTACTAGGCATTACTGAAATGATGATTACAGCTAATGAGGGTCTTATTATATGATTTAGACTAGTGACATTGAGTGAAACCATTAAATCGATTTCAAGAGCCAACAAAACTATTCTGTGGGTCATAGTCAGTTATTATTAAAACACAAGCCTGACCACAAGTGTATCATAATCACACACACAAACACATTGCATAGGCAAGATTTCCCAAAATCCATGCATGGGGCAGCTGCAGGCACGATGCGTAAGGATTAAAGTGCACACCTACCGTCCCGTATAACCTTCCTCTTCTGTTCATTGCCACAAACAGCTGACTTTTCACCCCATAGAGACTAACCACTCCTCTGTCTACTGACGAGATCTCAATCAGACCTGATTGAACAAAACATCAAAAGTTACACATGATGATGGGGGGGCGGGTGAGTTGAGGGGAGTGGATTTTAGGGGCTCTGCCACACATTCCTCCCCAATCTACTGCATGCATCCTGCAGGTCACCACCACACGCTGGCTGGAAATGCTTTTTTGTTCTGCAGTGCTGCTCCACGCTGGGTCCTCCTGCTCCTCCTCCTCCATCTCCTCACACTGCAAACGTGGAGAGAGCAAAGCAGTGCAATGCCATGTCAATGCAACGCAATGCAACGTTCGTTCTGGACTTTTGCAAGGGGGGGTGCAGCCCCTCTGCTCTGCTCGTTTTCTCAGAGCTGCAAATGGACGCAGTGTAAAATTAGTCAGAGTCTAAATCTGTCCATGCATTCGTGGCATGGTCGAGCCTGGGAAGGTAATTTAGCAATGATGATGCACTGGGGTTGTTGTTTTTATGCATATGTATTTGCCTTTAAAGCCCATTTCTGTGGTTTGCATGCAAAAGAATAATAATAACTGGGATTCTGCAGATGCTCTTCCAAATATTTACGCACCTTCCCCACAACCCCACTGCATTATAGTGTGCGTAGGTCGACTGCATTACGTTTCTGGCTACAACTCACTGTATGGGTTCTCGTCGTGTGCGCCGTTGATCGTGCTGTCCGGGAGCACCTGCAGGTGAAACCCGATGCCCGTGTTGCAGTAGAGCCTCCGCACCCGCTTCACGCCCAGCAGATAGTCCTTCTCCCAGCTGACGCGCGGGAGCGCCGCGACGACGACGGTTCTGTCTCGCGCGCTCGCTTCGGCCGCCGTCGCGTTGATCGGGTAGGAGCGCGCGGCGCCGACCACGAAGCCCAGGAACAGGAGCGCGACGACGGACGCGGAGGAGGAGGCGGCGGAGGTGCTGCTGCTGCTGCTGCTCTCGCGGGACATGCCGATGAGAGGGAAGGGAGTCTTTTTTTTTCTCCGGTTCACCTCCTCCGCGCCGCGTGGTCAGCCTGGTGAGAGCAGCGAGGCCCGAAAATAGACGCGCGCGTCTCGTTTCGTTTCGCTCGCTCGCGCGGGTAGGCGGACATGGCGGCGGCTCCGGGGCGCGCGACGTGGGGCAAAGAGAGAGCGCGCGGAGGAGAGTGGGGGGGTTACCGGGGCGCTAGGATGAGCATAGGGTTGGGGAGGGGAGGGGGGGAACAGGAGAGGAGGGGGCGAGAGAAGCGACCACTCACTCACTCAGCGGGCTCACCTTGCTCGCCCGTGCTCTGGGTGACGTCACGCAGAATGACGTCACGTCCCATGCGGTCCGGGATCTCGCTCCGGTTCCGCGCACAGCTGAACCGTGACAGTTTCCTCAGCACCAGCTCCCCCGGAACCGGTCACAGGCGCCTTTCCTTATTTAGCACAAAACGTGTAAGAACAGTGCGGTTGTCGCGGCGGAGTGACGTGGTAGGTGGGGGTGGTGGGAACTTGTTCCTTCCAGAACTTTTCACTGTGCTGCGCACTGAATGTACCTCGGTGATCTGTGTGTGCGGAAAACAAGTCTGTACAGTCTGCGGTCTCACGTGCTCCACAAGTGTTTGATTAAGGATATTCACTAACACTGACTAGTTCATATTTCAGTCGTGTGTCAGTCATTTTCTTCTCTCAGTGATGACAAAAAAGCGGCACAAACGTCATCTGTCAAATTATCAGTTGCTGGATTAACCTGCTGTAGACCGAAGTGACCAAAAGGCGGCGCTGTTTCACGCTTTTTAAATGTTTATTAAGCTTTTCAAATGACAGAGAAGTGGGTAGCCTACATCATACTTAAAGGGGAATTACACCAGTTTTTCAAAATTTCTGAATAATTCCGTCATTGGGTTGTAAACACAGTCAGTCAGAGTGGTTTGAGATGAAATGCTTAATTGTAGAGAAACTTACAGACTCAGATTTCTTTACAGTGGTGATGATAGATAGATAGATACATAGATAAAAAGATGGATAGATAGATCACTTTGTTAGTCCCAGTGGGAAAGTCGTCTATTAACAGAAACCAGGGGTCCAGTGTCTAATGTCACAATGTCTAACACAAATATTTACTATCCAGAACTACAAGTGAACCTACACGTGTCTTCTAAAATTTTATATGTAATGTGGTTGATGGGAAGACAGTCATAAATCTGAAAAAAACTGTTTTTCTTTGGGGACTATTGCGCCTTACAACACTGCATGTACCCATCTGCCATAAATGGATCATAAAAAATTGATTAAAACACATCACAAAACTATCATAAAGCAATGTGTCAGACAACCATTTTGTGAAATTACTTTCTGTGAGGGTGGTTTCAGATTCACTTAACTCTTGAGACGTCTGGTTCCTGTTACCTCAAATGTGAACAACTCTGACTCGGCAGGTTTCTCTAGATCTGAGCATTTCATACCAAACCACTCTGAATGGCTATATTGAAATCTCAACCATTTAATTATGTAGAATTTTTGAGAAATCGATGGAATTCGTCTTTTAAGTGAAAGTACTGTACAACTAAATAATGACTCAAGTAGTATTAAAAGTTTGAAATAACAGTTTACAATAAAAAAGATCTAGAGGGAGCTTCTTAAGTACTGAGTTCCCTATAGAACTATCAGCATTTGGAGCTGCAGTTTTCTTCTCCTTTTTGGTCAAAAGTAAGAGTTGTGAGCAACTGCAAAGATTGGCAACACACCAGAATGATAGAAACGGCAAAAAAAGAAATCAGCAACTAAACATGGAAGACTAAAATGGAACTGAGCAAAAAATAGATTATTCTCCAGACAGATATATTTGAGAAGTAAAAACATTAGCGTATTCACCCTGGAGTAACTTACATTTCAGTACTTTCCCTCTAATACAACATGAGAGGCTTTGATAGTGAGATGATAGGTTGAGTCAGGCGTTTTAGAGCAAGCAAAGTACTAAACTGCAGTACAGTGTGACTCCAGACACAGGATTCTTGAAATAATGGCCTCCCTTGATCCACATAGCATACACAACAAATGGAATAGTAAATATGTCCGCTAAAGGGATCTGGAGCATTTTCATCACAACTGAAAAAAAGAAAAAAAAAAGACCTAAAAAAACAACTAACTAGGAAACAAGTTCAGGTTCAGCAATAATCAGGGCAATGAGATCAGCACTGTTACAAAAAGATTTAATTTAATGTGATGTAACTATTAAACAAAAAACATTTTAATGATAAGCATAAAAATCCCAGGATGTTGCACAAGTACAGTGGTTACAAATATCCTGACTGACTATATGTGTAAACAGATCAGTAACTGTTGTTATCTGTCGTGCTTATAATATGCAACATGACTCACAATACTGTGTGTGTCTTAATGAATTGCTGAATTTGTCCATTTTGAGGTTAAAGCTGTTAATGTGTTCTGAAATCAAGTGATGGCACACTGTAATGTACACACTTACAATTCGATATGAGGCACATAGAGCCCAACAGGGTGATGGATGATACACTATAAGGTGTTTTGTGCTGAGGCAGTAACCCCTTTTGCCTGTTTGTACAGCATCATTAATATCAACTCAAATAGTAATTAATTATGAAAGGTAGGCATAAATGGAATAAGATGAACAGTCTCATAACATACGCTTCAAAGTGTGAAACCACTGCATGCACAGCTCCAAAACAGGATGAAGGCATTTTCAAATAAATAGCAGTCTGTCTATAAAAAAGAATAAAAAGAATAATTTAACTTCTCACAGGAAAAGGCACCACATTAACAGCCTTGACTCACACAGCAAAAGAAAAAAAAAAAAGCATTGTGCTTGTGTTTTTTCCTGACCTGATAAGTAAATGCCTATTTACAGTCTTTATTTAGGCACTTTAAAGTTGAGATTAATTTATATCAAGAGGTCAGGTGGTTATTCAACTTGGGAAAACGTCTTTCAAAGCAAGGTGAACAGTTAGTTCCACGACAAAACAACCACAATAGAACAACAACTAGATGTGAAAACAAAACAAAAAAAATTCAAAATGTTCTCAAGGGGTTTGGGCCCTCACATAAATGGCAGTGAAGTCACACACAATGCGGTATGTTAGCTAATAGCAATGCCAAAATCCATACCAAAAAGAATACTTATGGTATTACCCAACTTGCAAGACTAGGAGTGCAGAAATCATGAAATGATAATTGATAGACAGTAACTTGGCCTTCACAATTTGACAGTACATTTGGATTTGAACTGTAAACAGCAGGCATAATAAATTATATATGACTGTAAAAGCTGGCTAGATACCCTCTTCAATTTTCAGTAATTTGAATACTTGTTGTTGATGGATACCTGGTGCATAACTGAAGCTCTGATGAGACAGTGGGTCCATCCTGAGAGTCCTATTGTTTGTCTGCTACAAAGCACACTAAATTTGATGGGGCATCTTCCTAAAATTCACATTCAAAATTAATAACGCCTTTCCCTGCCCTGCTGCAGCATTCTACAAATGTGTGATAATTTGTGGCACAAAATGTGATATAGGTAGTTTAGATCTCCATACAAAAATAACCTAGATTGTCTTGGTAGATTCTGGCTGTATTTGGCTATTAGTGCTGGTTACTAACCACATAGACAAAATGTAGTTCATGAAAAATTACTTTTTTGTTTGATGCGAGCAACAGAACATAAATAGAGATGACCTCACTAAGCAGGTTGCATAAAAATTTCCCATAGGGATATAAATATCTGTATATATATTATCGATATACAAAAATATATACAATAAAAGTTATTTTTCTAAAATTTTCTTAAACATAAAAGGTATTTGCATCATCACACATCACACCTGACTGATGTGTCCGTTGGTCCAAGTTTCATTCCATTCATTGTGTTGGTGAAAGGACTCTTTCAAATGTGTAATTTGTCCTTAAAACTGAGCATAAACTATGAATGAACAAAAAAGCTTGATCAGCATGGAGCTGTTATGAGGGCTGTGCCTACAGCTCCACAGCACCGTCAGGCCGTCTGGGCCTGCCTTCCTCGGCCTGCTGAGCTTATATTACGTAGGCCATCCCAGAGTGAACAGTTCAAGAATGAGGACTGCGATGGTAAAACATGCATCAGTGCAAATGGAAGGAAATGAGCTAAAGCATTAACTTAGAAAGGAGAGTTTCCTGGTCTGTGCCAGTGAGCAGTGAAAATGAAGTAGCAAGAGATTTTTCCAAATTGTCTGTTGAGTGATGAGGAAGCATGGTGGTGCAAGCAGGATGCTCTTGCGTAGGCAAACTGCAGACAGAGGAAGAGCGGGTCAGATAATGAATAACTGCAGAGGCTTTGCATGACGATAGATCTTTCAGTCCAGTTTTGGTTTTATGGTACCTTAAAGTGTATGTTACAAAGCATACTTATAGAATGCGGTTTTTCTCTTTCTCCATCATATACACACTTCCCAAGACGAACAACTTGTGATTTTACGCCACTCAAGTCTTTTCATCAGCTGTATTCTCTCATTCTTTAAGATCCTTTTGGTCAAAGATGATGTGAGTGGCAAAATAAACACCAATTGCACCGAAAATGGCAGAAGAGGCAACGTAGGCAGTGACGGACTGTGTGAACTGGACGATCATGCCCATGAAGAGGGTGGGGAAGACCTGAGAGAGCAGGAAGGTGCTGTCCAGAATGGCAAAATCCAAGCCCACCCCCCGTTTGTCATAATCGTCTGATTCCAGACCAGGAGGCGTACCATTCTGACTGTGCTGAGACGGGTAATATTCCTGGTCGTAGTGTACATGGCCATTAGCATAGCCACTCTTGTGGTTCAGATCACCAGTGTCATCATCTAATGTGAGACGTACAGCCTCATGGCTGATGCTCAGTCCACTCTTGTGCGTCTTTTTGGTTTTGTTGGTCTGCATGTATACCTGCGGGAAGTGACAAAGGCCTTTAAAAATGCAGTAGTACCATGAAAAATATGGTGCTGGTTGGTTTATGGTTTCCTATTTCTCATGATGTTTGTGTACTACATGAGAATGTATATCACTGCTGTCGGAACAAAACCTCATATGCCCATTTTTGTCGTTTTTGAGTTTTTGACATAATTTTAAAGTGCCTGTTCTTTACATTTTGTGTAAATTTCATGATTAATGGACCAAAATTACTTGGAAAAAGGTCCGGTTCAATTGACTTGCATTAAAAGTAAAGTATGTTTTTTCTTTCTTCTGTAAATTTACCATTTTGGAGATACAAGGTTTTGTTTCGACAACAGCTATACTGAATTTTTTTTATGATTTTAGATGATTTATGTGTCGTGTTTTCCCTTCTATGACACACCAGAGATTCTAAGTACTACACAGTATTAGATGTCAATCTGTATGCTACTGAATCACCTACCTCCTTCTCTTTGTGGTAGTGGCAAGTGAGTGTGTATGGCAGAGTCTGCAGAGTGGCATAAGCAAACCCTGTGAGTGCAGACATGGCTGTGACCAGTAGCACACTCTTGGACAGACAAATGATCAACGCAGAGACGGTGAAGGACACCATGCTACTCAGGTAGACCTTCCTGGAGCCAAACACATGCACTAGCCGGCTCATGACCAGCGAGAAGAAGGTTGAGGTAGCACATTGTAGGAACAGCCCCAGGCTGCCCATACGGATGCCTGCAGGAAAGACATAATATATTTTTTTCATTAGTCAAAAATCACATATTGCATTATCCTGTATGTAGCTTTTAAAGAACAGTTTTCTCAAACTAAATTTGGTTTTCTTGGACCAGGGTTGTCAGAGTGAAAGCCCCAGAGAGCTACAACACTGCACATTTTAGTGTTTTCACTTCTTTAGCATACTTATAAAGGTCTTGAAAATAAGCCAATAAGTTGGAACAAGATCGTTAATCAGGAAAAAACACTAAGCTGAGCAGCACTGGCCTTCTGGGAGTAGAGTTGAACATTCCTGTCTTAGGATGAAGGAGAGAATCATGCCTCAAATGTAAGACAGAGTCCAGGCTGTATTTTAAAAGATGAATTAAGTTCAGAAAGCTGACTGTGACCATATCAAAACATTAAGACAAAGCTAGCCTTAAATCTTACTTGTGTTTACTGAGGCATATGTTTGCAAAGCTCTGGCTTTCCATTTCAAACAGCTCAGGAACTTCCCTCACAGAGTAGGAATTCAGACTTTAAACACAGGGCAGCAGAGCCAAGTTCCTCTGAAACAAGCACGTCTGAAGCTGGGCTGTTTTCTGCTAGTCCACCCATGCTCAGAAATAAACTCATATAACGGCCATGGGTTTTGTAGTTGCTATTGTTAGGCTATGTTGCCAGACTTCATTTACTTCGATATAGTTCTATATCAAAATTCTGTTAACCTCCTGCACTGGAGAAAGAGGCTGTGGGATGCTCTTTTCAGGCTAGCTAAAGGGAGGGAGGGAGTGACCTTCATGCATCCAGCTGGATGTTTGGATGAGGCACTGCACAGACACTGACCGTGGGTGAAGGTGAACCCAAGTTCACCCAAGAGCCAGACACTCTGGCAGATGAGACAGGGAGGACACAGCAAAAGAAGTCCAGCAAAACAAACTCATTAGCAAGGAAAATGATTACTTGTGTGGGAGCAAGAAACACAGAGCAGGCCACTTTTGATAGAAGACAGACGGTCAAGTGAGGCCAAGGGCAGCGAATTTTGATCAGAGAAGAACATCTCTGTTTACTAGCACAGACAAACATTCAAGTTTCTAATTTTTCCCATAACCACCACTGGGCAACTAGAGAGAATATTCGTACTATACAGACACTGATTATATATGAGTTGAACATATTTTATTCTTTAGCACTTTCTTGTCCATTATTTGTTTGTTTGTTTGTTTTACAGCAGATATGCATTAACAGTAGTCTGTTTGTCTATTCTGCACTGAAAAAATTATCTTGGCAAGTGAAATCATCTTAAATGTAGTCTATATATCTAATATTTCTCATTTTGATACTGTTGTAAGCTTATTATAAGATATGTGAACTTTTACTGGACTGTTTTCTTGTTTTAAGTAATTTTATCAGGGAAGTTCCCATTCTATTGGAAGATTATTTTGCTTGTTTCAAGAAAAAATGCTTGAACACAACTAAGCCATCTGAAGACCTTTCATAAGCTGTCACCTTAACTTGGCTAGCTGGATTTAATAAAGGTTAAATAACTAAAAATACACCAAATATCCCTCCTTTAATTGACAGAAAGTAGGCGATCTCACCTTCATCATATCGCTGTCTGAGCACAGTGCCTGGAGCAGCACTGGGCACTCCTTCATACAGTCCCTCGCCCACAAAGTCCGTATAGAAGAGCATGAAGGACATGACGGCCATCCAGCTGCACAGCTGAGCCACACACAGCTGCCTCATGACTTGCGGAACGTGGCAGTAGCTCCGGTAGATTGCTGGGGTCATGGACCAACAAGTCCTGAGTAAGCACAGCAGTGGACCAGACTTCAGCAGCCTGAGTTTACACTGTAATACGTAGCAGCAAGAGCGAGGGCCACAGGGTCCAGCGTCCGACGGCCCAGCCTCCGGCACCAGCGGCCTGCACGAGGGCTCCTCCGACACCTTCATAGTGACCAGCACACTGACGATGAAGATGAGGATGAGGAGGGTGAAAAGACACTCAGCCTGGCCACCCAGGTAGTAGGCCAGGAGGCCGCCGCTCCAGTCCAGCGCGGGCAGCAGGTAGCCCACGCAGCCACCCAGACTGACCATGAAGGAGAACATGGCGAAGGCCTGGGCACAGTCCTCTCGTTCGCGGTACAGATCAGACAACAGTGCCTCCAGTGGTGTGAAGCACACCTGACCGCAAAAGTCCAGCAGGCCCACACCCAGGATGAGCAGGCCTATCTGGAGGGCCTGGTTTGGGCGGCTGCTGCCCCAGCTGAGGTGAACGGCCAGGACATCGGCGTGGGGGATGATGAGGAGAGCCAGTAGAACGCCAAGTGATAACAGCCAGATGAAGGGCCGGCGGCGGCCATAGATGCTGTTGCAGTGGTCACTGGCCGAGCCGATGAGAGGGATGAAGAGGAGGCCCAGGACAGGACCAATGCCTGCAGAGAAGAAAATGAATATTTTATATATTCATACACATGCCATAAATGCTGACAAATACCTGCAGTAGCTTATTAGTCAGGTATCCTAAAATATGCTATGTAGTTACAATGATTTGTTGTGCTCTCAAGTGGACTAACTGGTTAATTCGATCTGTTTCAGCTGTTTTTTTTAGTAATCAAAAACCAGGACATTCATTCATTTTCCAGTTCCAAACCTTTTCAGCAGTGTCAGTCTCTACATGTGAAAGCAGCCTGTAATGGGCCCTTTGACCAAACACCAGCTCTGCACCCCACCATTCCTCTCCACAGCCTTTCTAATTAAAGAAGATGACTAAGCTTGCTCACTGGGCCTAGATTTTCATTTGATTCGTGTCCAAATTCTCAGGGGCTATTTCTATCTGGAGGGGCGGGTGATGAGTTGAGAAGATGTTCAAGAACATATTAAGTTCACTGCAGGCCATCTGCATAAATACTGTATGATCCAGAACAGTGCTGGCTCAGTAGGCCAAAATGTAATCCAAGTGATGAGCCAAGGTACTAATAATTGAAGTCTGTATAATTTTAAACCTGATATGAAATTGATCAGTGATATTGGTGAATGTATAAAACATAGGTCACTGTCTAGTAAATACTGTGTGGTCAGTCAATTTAAAAGTCCTTGGGGACCACACACAAAGAGAATTTGTAAAGAATTAGAGCACATAACCCAAAGTAACAAGTTCCCATAAGTTTTGTGACTCCAAAGGGCATATGGGGGACCGGTTTGGAATAACACACCTAAAACAATTCAAGAGTGCCCCGGTGATGTTAAGGCATTGAAGCGAGTCTTGACAAAGCATGTGTTATTCCTGCCAAGGGGTATCGCTGTGGGAGCAGTGGAAACAGATAGCCGAGGGAACTAGCTGGCCTTAAAGAAATTTATCAAAGGATATTTCAGTCAGTGAGGGCAGCACGCAGTGGTTCAGCTACAGAGAAGAGTCAGTGGGCTTCTGCCTTCTGTTTAAAAGTAGTTATCAGTAACACCAGTGCACAGCTGGGATCATTACTGTGTACAGTTTCTCCCTAAACAAATATGTGCACATAATACATAACACTGTTGTTGGAACAAAACCTCGTATCTCCAAAGTGGTAACTTTACAGGAGAAGGAAAAAACCTACTTTACTTGTAATGTAAGTCAATGGTACCAGACTTTATTCAAAATAATTCTGGGCCATAATTCTCCATTCATCATGAGTCAGATCCTGTCATGATACCAGAATTTTGATTTTGATATCAATACTAACTGTAGTATTTCAGTAGCAAATGATACTGTTGGAATAGGTTAAAAGAGTAACTTCACTGATTGAAAAAATTCACATAATTCTGTCATTATGATGTAAACAAAGACAGCCAGAGTGATTTGATGTAAAATAGTTGATTGTAGAGAAAATTACTGACTCTGACTTCTTTATAATGGTAATAATATAAATTTTATTTACTATCCAAAATGACCAGTGAACTTACTTGTGTCTTCTGAATGTTTATATATAATGTCGATAATGGTAAAATAGTGGTAAATCTGAATAAAATATGTTTTCTTTGGGGCATATTTTGCCTTATAAACCTCTCCACCATGAATGGATTTTTTAAAAATACATTTAAGGCTGAAACCTTCTTTCAAAAGCAACACAAAATAAAGGGGTCCCATTCACCAAGCATTCTTAAGAAGAAATTTCTTTTTAAACCCACTTACACAGTTTTCACAAAGATTCTGACATTGACCAATGTGTTCTCATTTGGGATTTGTTCTTAGGTAAGAACAGAATCTACACACACAGAAGCACAAAGGTGTGAACAATTCTGCACTTTAAGAACACATCATGAATCTGACGTAGACTTTTTCTTAGGACCTTTATCAAAAACAACTTTAAGAAAAACTTAGTAAGATGTTGGTGAGTGAGGCCCAATGTCTCAGACATCAGGCAGTGTATTCATTACCGTTTCTATGTAATAATGTTCTGTGAAGCTTTTTGAGGCACTAAACTCTTTTAATGTCTGGTTTCTTCTGACTCAGTAGGTTTCACTCAAAGGGTGATTTCATATCAAACCACTCTGAATGGCTTTTCGTAATGATTTAATTATGCAGGCATTTTAAAAAATCAGTAGAATTCCCCCTTTAAAGTGTTCAAAGTACCTAACTCCATTTGGTTAAATAACTAGGCCTATAAAACACAATTCAGCAAGAAAAGGCCAATGGAGCGGCCGAATGTACCTGAGATCTGTAAGAATGGATCATTTATTATTCATTAAAACCAGAGGTGTGGATTTCTTTTGGTAGGAGAAGTTATTTGAGGTTGTCAAGGTTGAAAAGATAATCTTCTCAAAGTAAGTGCTTATATGTAGTTTTCTCACCATTTGAATTTCAATGGATCTAAATGGGGTTGTTCATTTATCGCTCACAATACCGTGCACATGAAAAGCATCCCAATATAATGCTAAAGGCACAAAACACACACACATATACACACTTAGAAACAACGGGGCAGAGTCTGACGCGCACAAACACTCAGTGTTGTTGTTGAGGTGCTTACTAACCCTGCACAAAACCACAGAGGGTGGTCAGAACCATTATTTTGCTCAGAAGGACACCAGCTGGGACACACTGACACTCGCTTTATTTCTCAAGTCACACTGAAGTAGGAGAAAGAAGCCCACCAATCACAAAGAGGCATTAACAAACACCTCCAAAAGCTACTGACCAATGAGAAAAAAAAAAAAAAACATTTCCAGCAAATTCCCTGGAACTGTACGAGACTAAATTTTAAATCCTGCGAACTTTATACACAAACTCCATTTTAGGCTCTTGAAAATACAGTGTTTACTCTGTTCGATTATAGATGCTGTGCTGAGAAGAGCAGTGTTTTGCATTCTTTTGCCATTGTGAGTTTAGAAAATACGCAGCTCCTGCCAGGCTGGAGGAAACTGCACACACACACACACACAACTCTTTCTCTTCAGCTCTGCAGCTGCTGATGGAGTGCAGTGTACATTATCACACTCTATATAGCTTGCCCACTCGGTCTGAAGTAACCATATGCCTTTCCTGTGTGCTCTAGTCACAATACAAACAGTCTCAGAGAGATGCACATTTATAGCTGACCATGTGGAAATCATTTACGGCTGTGGAATAATGTATCTATTCATATGGCACCCACAACAACCACCAGCACACTTCTAAATATATGAAGTCCGTGGCTGGCTTATTTTAACAGGAAACATGCAAACGTTTGTGTGGCTGTCACTGTTTTTAAGTAATGTTTCATTGTGTATTGTCTCTAGTAGGAAAAAGCGTTTAATTTGATCAAGATCTGACCATAAGCATTCTGAATAGCCATGTAATATATATGAAACCCACGGCTCTGCTTTGTAAGTACGGCAAGGACAACTAAAATGTGTTTTTCACGCCGTGTCAATTTTTAACGCACTGAAACCTTCACATCAAGTCCAATGTTATCAGTTTTATTATTATTTTTAAATAGCAGCAACAAGACAAAGAAGAGGATGAAAAGGATCTATTGAGTAATAAGTAAAAAAAGCCAGCAAGATTTCAACGACACTGCATAACAGCTTATTCTGAAAAACATTAAAACAGCATGGCAAGTTTCACCAACTCACACAGGTGCTTAAGCTCCTCATGAACACACACAGGTGTTAAAGCTCCTCACCAACTCACACAGCAGCTTCAGCTTGGAGCTCCCAACGTTGAAAAAGCAAACAAACCACAAGCAACCACGAGCCCTAGTGTGAAAGATCACGTTTTGAATTTTTTTATTTTTGTGAACTGTAAAACTGCTTTTAAGGCCTAAAGCAAAGAGTTATGGCATGTCTTATATTTTGTTTCTTTTTTTCCCAATATGTTTGACTCAGAAACAAAAAACTGTACACTAAAACTATCACAAAAATGCTTTATTTTAAGTGTGTTCCCTGGAGAGGATGGGTTAACCTGTTTTTAATTAGAAAATCAACTAAACATGTAACTCAGGGGTGTTCATACTTTTTCATATGACTATAAATGACCAAACTAGCCCAAATATGAACAAAAGTATATGACAATGGAGTGATAACGTTATGGATTTTAAAGATAAGAAATTCATATAATATTGACCAAATATAATGTAATATGGTCAAAAATTCCACTAGTCTGCAGTAGTTTTACATAAACAATGCTTTACTGACTGAACTGTCAAATAGGATTTTCTGTTCATGGGAGACTCAGCTTCTCAGAATTCCTAACAGTTTCTCTTCATAGATTTTTTCATGATATATCATTATTATCATACTAAATGTTAGGATGCATCTTACATGTTTTATCATTTTCACTGTGAGAATATTTCTTGTTCAGATTGATCAGATTCAGTAAGTATTGCTACACTAGAAGTGAGCAGATGATCACTGTCAGCTCAGCTGTCCCTGTAAAGTGAACCCACATCAGAAGTATTTGTTCATTATAATATAAAAACAAGCCACTAATTACTGGTGCTTATTACTGGTGGTCTAATTATCAGTGTTTTGTTATGTACCACCCTGCTGGGAGCCACAGGAAAGTACCATGTGTTTAACCCATCAGCAGTAAAACTACACAGCTTCCACACACCTGCTGCACTCCAGATTCCAGCTTCACTTCCTGGGCCATAGTACCTTTCAATTAAGTCCTGATTACCACCTGAGCAGAGCAGTAAGTGATACAGCCACTAATTTAGATAATGACCCCCATTACAGAACGGACTCTAGGGTGGGAAAGAAACTGGCTACGGTCTGTCCTTGTGACAAAGTCGAGACTTTCATACATCACCTCTTCATGTTACTTTATATCTTGTTTCTTATATCTAGACTCTGTCAGTTGGTTCTAAGGCTTAATGTGTGCAGGTGTCGTACACAGACATTCCCATAGGTGTCTGACAACTTGTACACTACGGGGCAGTGTCCGAACCAGAACGTACATACGTGTTTTTGTTTCTGCAAGAACGAATACTCGCATCACCGTTTTAGTAATATTTTGAAAAGGGATTGTATAAATGTTTGCAACGCTGCACTTCTTCGTCAAACTGCTCCGTGTGCTTGTGTGTTAGTTCTTGCAGAGCCATTATAAAAAAAAAACACTGGTTGAAAAGTGAAAGCTTTCAACTTCCAGGGAAAGTCCCGCCCTTCAAAAAGAAGAGCCAATCAGCAAGTTGATAAAGCCACAAGTGAGAAAGCTCTTCCTCGTTGTGGAGATATGCATGTGTATAGCAGCCAAAACAACCTGAAAAGGCTACATTCTATATAACTATTTATGTGTTTTCTGTCAGAATATGTCAGTATTTTTAAATCTGTTTTTGAAACATTAATGTGGCCTTCAGTCTCAGGTTTATAAGTCTCTCGACATGGTTCTGGTTTGGGTCGAGTTGTTTGAGTCACATCACACCACTAATGCTACCAGAGAGCCAATCAGCGATGACTTGATGCTCAGCTCTGTGAACTGCACAGCATGTGGTTAAGGCTATGCTTACCCATCAACCCCTTATCTGCAGACACATTAATGTGCATCTTTGCAGAAGTATAAATCAGCCTTTAGGTGATAGAAGCTAAGCATTAAAAACTCAATCAGGAATTCTCTAATCAGAAATACCTGGAATAGCACAGAGATTAGCAGAGGGACGTGTAGAGTAAAAGGACTTTTCGGTTACAGTTACTGATGCAAACCCAGAACTATCCAAACCCTGGTCCAGTACCTGTTTCTGTTTCTCATTGCACTACGGTACCTACCAAAGTAGACGGGGGTTCTCTGTAGGCTGTGTGGTTGTCAAGTGATTTGTCTTGCAACGCTAGTGTTAACAGTAGACAACAGTAGCAGAAGCAACAATGGGGGAGCTACTGAATTAACTCTTACTCGCCATTTGGTTTTATGTGGAGTCACAGACAGTGATTATGGGTAGCTAGTGTTTTTTTTAAAATGGCGGTTATAAGATTCAAGAGACGACAAATGATGATTCTGTGACGAATGCGTTTGACCGAGAGGTGGGCAATATGATGGTATTTTATTGTTGTCATAATACATTTTGTATTCTGAGCATATTGTGGATATCGCCTGTACTTAAAGTCAGGGATGTACATATGGTCTTTGGTGAGGTTCACCAATGTCGAGAGGCTAAAGCGCACCATGAACTGCTGAACATGAAATATCATGATAGGTATTGTGAATCATGAAAATCGTAATATGATATTTTTGCCACATTGTCCATCCCTAGTTTGACCAATCAATGGTCTGCTTTATCCCTAGCTCCACCCAAATGACTACAGCCAGTTTTGCTGACTAAACTGATAGTAGGAAATACTACGCGCTAGTAGTGAACTGATCTAATGGATGGCCATGTTGTCATGTCACTGTTTAGCCATGTTAGTAATTTTGGTTGAATTATCCTCTTATTATGTCAAATGATAGTGGTCACCAAACCTTGACTCATCCTGGAGATCTACCTCTCTGACAAGTAGAGTTCCAACCCAGACCTAACCAAACTCAGACCTAACCATATCAGGTGTAGCAGATCAAGGGCAAACTAAATACTGCAAGAAGGTCAATTTCCAAGAGAAAGGGTGGCCACTGCTTTTAAAGTTAAGAAACAAAGCAGAAGTCCATTAATAAAGCTTACCCAGCACCATGGTCATGTACTTTTCCTCCACACCAGCCTCCAGCAGCAGCGGGGGCACATAGGTGATTCCGGCTGCCACGCAGATCTCCAGGCCACAGGTCAGCAGGTTGAGCAGCACCAGACGCCACTGGGACCTCCATCCAGGCATACTTCCACAGGGACGGGTCGCCTTTCACCTTTGTGCGGGGGGGCTCTAGTTGGTCTGCCAGGAGCCAGACACTGTGTGGTCAGACGCCCTGGAACGAGGAGGGCGTGTAGGGTGAAGGAGAGCTGGGGGGGCGCAGGCTTGCAGCAACCTCAGATAACCCAGAGGATCCATCGTGTCTTCAGCATTCTGGATCTGAAAGAAACCAAAACACAGAGAGCAGTGTTTAGACAGAGAGATCACAAGGTGCGCCCAAAGGAGAATCTTTAAAAGTGTAATCAATGCAGATGGTTCTTTCTCCAAACACCCAAACTCAGAAAACCTGTCATTTGTAGAAAAACAGCAAATATTTAGTTTGTGCACATAATTTCCTTCAACCACAGCACATGAGATTGCTGATAATGATCAAACTGCAAACCAGAAGTTGTGCAACTAGAGAAATGTGCTTGTTTGCAGAAAAGCATCAGGGAGGCATTTTACAAAGTTTCTCATTTACAAAAAACAAATGAAAATACTCAAATATTTCACAGCCGGATAACAAACTCAAAGTCTAGCCCTGTCCTGTGGGGGAGAGGTCTGGGACATTCCTATTGGACAACAGCAACAACTTTTGGCTTAAGGGCTTAAAAGGGAACTCCACAGATTTATTTTACAATGTCTACATAGTTCAAACACTGAGATGTAAATAAAGTGTGAACTGTTGTGAAATGGTTTATTGTAGAGAAACTTACCAATTCAGATTTCTTTACAGTGATGGTGATAGGAACCAGGGGTCACCATGTCTAATACAGCCATCATGCAAATATAGCTATTTTATTTACTATCCAAATGGACGCGTCCTCTGAGTTATATGTAATGATAAAAATGCGCTGCTGTCGGAAGAAAACCTTCTATCTCCAAAACGGTAACTTTACAGGAGAAGGAGAAAACCTACTTGGCTTTTAATACGAGTCAATGGAACCAGACTTATTTCCAAGTCATTTGGGGTCATTTCTTTTGGTCCATTCTTCATGAAACTTGCACACAATGTAATGAGCTACAGGCATTTCCAAATTATGTCAAAAACTGATAAATGACAAAAATGGAGATACAAGGTTTTGTTCCGACAGCAGCAAATGGTAAAATGGTGAATGAAAAAAAGAAGTTTTCTTTAGGGACTATTTTGCCTTAGAAGACCCTGCAAGTACCATAACTGAAATAAAAAAAATATCTCTTAGGTCAAAACTTTCTTAAAACCTTTGTAAAACAATGACTCAGACATAAACATGTTCCTAAACAGTTTACTGGTTTCTTTAAGGGAGCATTTAGACACATTAAACTCTTTGGATGTCTGGTTCCACCATTGTGAACAATTCTGACTCAACTAATTTCTCTGTAATGGTGCAATTCACATAAGACCGCTCTGAAATACTTTGGTTACATCTTAATTATTTAATTATTAAAATTTGAAAAAATGTGTGTCCCATTTAAACATTATGCTTATTATTACTAATCTTATTGTTTGGTGACTACTACGAAAGTCTCTTTGAAGAACTACTATAGATAACTACTATAGGCATGAGGGAACTGAAGTGAGGACCCACATATGAGTCTTTAGAGTTAAAAGGGTTAAGTTATTCAGCTGACTTAAAAAGACCTCCTGCACTGTGAAGCAGCCCCAGGCCTTAATGATTCAGAATTCAAAATCCACCAGTTAAAGAAAATCAACGTCAAACGTTCCAGCATTTAACAGACAGGCTGAAAGCGAGATTGTGATTAATTGGTGAGCTGCGGTCCATTTGGTTCTTTGCTCGCTGCTTTGCAGGAGGCCTGAGCGTTTGTGATGTGTGTGATTGATGGAGGGAGCGGGGTGCATTCCTCAGGGGCTTTGGGCACCTCACGCCTCACCCGCAGGCCACAGCCAGGTCATCCTCTCCATGGACTCGCTTTCCCCCGCTCGCTCTGTCATAAGCTTATTCCCTCAGGCCTGATTAGTGCAGGCCATGTCAAGAGCCTCCTCACCAAGGCCGGCTGCCTCTAATTAGCAGCTATTGTTCGCAGAAAAGCGCTCTTAATGAGTCAAGACTCTTGGCACTTCCTGCAGGCTTGCCAAGTCTTGGTAGGCAGTTATGCACAAAGCAAGAATATCATGTACAGACTGCCTGCTCTCCTCTACACTTTAATGATAGACTACTGAACTCTATATCCATGATTTGGACTCATAAAATACGCTCACCAATTCGGCTAACATTTTGCTAAAATTTGGTTTTTACCTACATGTTACATTCACACAATTTTCCCTTTACCTTAAACGTAGTTGATCACCAAAACACTTTTTGTGTCTGAAGTTTGCTTCGTTTTGCACTAGAGCTACGAGGCTAATGTAGTTAACAAGTAACTGAAGCTTATGTACACCAACACAGACAAAAGTAAAGGCTTTTTAACAGAAGTTTTAAGGTCACTACTTCTGTTTTTAGCTATACAATGTATTTTTGTTCATTTTATGTTATATTCTGCCAGAAACCACAGTATTAACATGGTGCGGTTTGTGGCAATGCTTGTAATAAGCTTCCCTTGCTTGTTAGCCTCATAGGTCCAGTGTAAAACTAAAGAAGTAATCATGTCTAGTTGATCAGTTACATTGGAAAACAGTCCTAAAAAAGCCAGTGGAGAGCAATATGACAAAGCGACAGTACATTTTCTGAGCATATCATGATAATCATCAGTACTTAAAAACTGACCAATTACACGTTTTATTATAAAGAGAACATAATTAGTCCTGTTTAATTGGGTTCAGTGTAGCGTGGTATATACAGTTCTTGTGGTGCAGTGAGTAGCGGTGTCACCTCACGGCAAGAAGGGTCTTGTTGGATTTCTCTGCCGGGCGACCAGTGTCCTTTTTGTGTCTGGTTTGCATGTTCGCCCCACGTCTGTGTGGGTTTCCTCCCACAGTGCAAAGACATGCAGTCAGGCCAATTGGAGACACTAAATTGCCCCTAAGTGTGAATATGTCTGTGTGTCTGGACTGTCAAAGGACTGGCAACCTGTCCAGGGTATTTCCTGCCTTCCGCCCTGTGAACACTGGGATAGGCTCCAGCGCCCTCCGTGACCCAAAAGGATAAGTGGCTTAGAGGATGGATGGATGGATAGCTTTTTGTGGCAAAACAGCCCTTTTGGTTCTGTTTTGTCTGTTTAAACTTACTAAAGTTTATAATATTACATATTATAATACATATTATGTACTATTAAAATGTTTCAAAGTACTGTGACGTTACAGCCATCGCCCACCCCTAAACAAAGCCTTCAGAAAAACAATATGCAATATGACTTTTTGTCATGTTTTATAAAGCGTTGTCCAGACCAGATCTCAAGGACCTCCCAGATAGTCCACATTTTTGTTCTTGTCAAACTGCCAGCACAGCTAAGCCAATAAGTACTGATTACCTGGCTCAGGTGTTCTAGAAACTTGGACAGAATAAAAGTGCAGTCTGTGTGGGAGCCTAGCAACCTTAACAATAACAAGCATACAATGTACATAGATCTTCTACTGCTTTCTCACCTGCATCTCACAAAATCAAGTAGGGATGCACCAGTGTATGAACTGTGGGCCAATGTCAATGTCCGATATTTTTCTTGTATCTATGCCGATACATAAACATTTACAAAATGTAGAAATACACATTCTGCTCTTCCGGAGTTCAATAAATATCGGTTTGAAATATCAGTCAAATCAAACCTCTGTCAGATGCCAATATGTGTTTTAAGCAAATATCTGCTGATACCGGGTTTTGATGTCATTGTGCATCCCTGCTATCAAGCTATTAAATTAGCACTGAGGTTCACACTATGAATCCTTTTTTTTTCAGCCACTATGCCATTACAGCCTAATCAGAGCCTACAGTAATCTGCCCATGACCAATATTTACCTCCACACCCTCTTCTATAACCACAGCCTGGCGTCCTCATCTACACATTCAACAAATACCAAACTCGTGCGTCTTTAATGCGCTGCCCAGTGAAACACAACACCAAACAAAACCCCCACTTCAGAGAGCACTTCCTCCCACAAGCCTCCTGGGAGTGACCTATCAATCAGTAAAAGGCATCATTCCCCCTGATCTCAAGAAGTGTGCGCAGTCAGCTCTGAATAGCTACTCTTCCTTCTGTATTCTGTCCACTTAGAGGGACAAAAGGTGTTCTAAATAGAAATTACCTTAAACGACACAGCAAAAAATGAAAAAGAGAAAAACTCAAGCATTTTGTGACCTACTGTGAATCAGATCCAAAACTGTAGCACATCTGCAAGAACACAAACTGATCCAGTTCTCTCCAGCCTCAGTCTGCTTCAAATGGTCTAGCGATATAAAAGCTCTTCAATCAGCACGAGAGCTCCAAGTACTCCCAGTTCAGAGAGGGCAGCCTGTGGACGGCACTTGATCTGGTCCCTATCTGCGTCTCTCGCTCACTTTGGCTCCCGAGTCCCCAGCCTGCTGCCACCGCACCATCTGAGCCTGAGGGATGTGAGAGAACACTCTGAGCAACCGCCGCCGCCTTCCAGGGGGAAAGAAAAACAACCAGGTGCTAAATTCATATTTGGTGTGAAATTCCTCTACCAGTGTGGCCCATCTGCTCTCGAAGGGAGACAGAACATGCGTGATCTTCGTTAAGAAGTCCCTCAGACTTCACCCAATTGAAGACCTGGAGAGGAGTGATGTCAGTGAATTCACTGCTGTACCTGAGAACTTCATGGGTTAAGTGTGAAGACTGTCACAATTCAACCAGCTGCTCCTACGACTCAGTTAAAACCTGGCAGTGAAACCGACTGTTCCTTGGTTGCATTGTTTTCTATGACGTTCACAGTACAACTAGGAATGTAACATTACAGCAGTTTGTTCCGTATCACATTTACCCTTTATTTTTTTAATTAGCACTTAAAATGGCCGTTAAGTGGTTCATTTTACTGAGGAGATTAGTGTTTACATGCACTTAAAAATTCAGATAACTACAGAAAAGTAGATTTTGTCAGTAATCCGATCAATGCGTTTATATGCACTTGAGTAATCAGATAATGTAAAAAACTCCTGGTCTATATGAGTCAGACAGTAATCAGATTTCTGCTTTACAACCAGCCAATAAACTCACAAAAGACCTGACGTAAACATAATGTAAAACTTAATGCCGCAGCTTTTCTTTAAAAAACATCACACCACTTTACCTGATAAAAACTTATAAACATAAACTTACATCATTTAGAAGATGAAAAATAATCAAAACCCTTGATTTTGTCAAGAATGTATTTGTTTTCATCGTCACTCCAAAAATGTTTTGCTGCATCTTGCGGCAACGCTGCTTGCTTATTTCTGGTACTGCTGTTTGTTTCTCACATGCGCAGACTGAGACATCCGAGAGAAATCAGAGTAAGAGTTTACATGCACTGAGAAATCTGACTACTGAGCTAAAACCCAGCTCTGTTTATCAGATTTCTTAATCAGATTTCTAGACATTACTCTGATCTCAGAAATCAGAGTGTGCTGTTTACATGACCATTTAAATAATCAGATAACAGCAGAAAGCCAATTATGATCGTATTATTGAGTGCATGTAAACACATTCACTGAGAAAAGGAAACAGACACATGCAAAAAAAAAAAAGCTGCCGGGGTTCTCAGAACAACAGACTGACCACCCCAGAGTCCAGACCTCAACATCACTGAATGTGTTTGGTATTACTTGAATTGTGAAATGCAGAAAGTGCAAACAATTTCTAAGACTGAACTTTGGAGGTGTGGAAAAATACCCCTGCAGATTTCTTTGAAAAACTGAAAGCAAGTCTCCTGCAAAGAATCAGAAAGAGTGATATTAAATTAGCTGTTGAGGCTTCTGTGTAATTTTCTGCTGAAAACTGGAAAACCTGAATAAAAAAATTTAAAAATAAGGATCTTTTCTGACTTTTTTACATCACATTGTTGTTTCACATCTAGTGGCTAATGTGTGAGCTTGGGGCTAACGCATCAGATTGTATCACTATAAAGCACAACTTTTGTTTCAAGTATTGCACTTGAATAATGTTGAATGCTCAAATACAAAGAAAGTGGAAACATCAATATATTACTGTAAGGCACATTTTCAGCTACTCATTACTGCTGTACAGTCTGCACTGACAAGACTGGCAATACATTCTTACCTCCAGATATACTTCGGGTCTCCCAAAACGTGTTGCAAGACTGTGTCTGGTAGTAAATAATGAATGCTAACGTTAATGATCTCATCTACTGAAGCATTTAAAAAAGCACAATACGCACTGCACAAAGCAGACGCCCCCTTCTAGAGCTCCTCAGACAAGAACTGGCGGGGAGCTCGCCTCTTTGGGACAACACTGCTGTTTCACACCCAAATCCCTTTCCTACAACCCTGAAAAGACCTCATCAGGGGATCCAGCCCAGTCCCACTTTGCTTGGTCACCACACTGCTGCCCAACACCCAGACAACCCCCCACTCATAACACCCTCTTCACCACATGCTCTGTTCCAAGGTCAGACCCATTGACCTGCTTTCTGAGAGGACTTTTAGCAGGCAACTGGTTATTTCCCTGAACTTTGATGGTAATGATTTTACACATAAGCTGGATCTGAGACCATCTTCCTCTCTCCAGTCTTTATGGCATCTGCAGCAGGACCCCTTAACCTCTAAGGGCCTGTATGTAGGCCTCACTCTCATACATTAAAGAGGGCAGTATACTTCAGACAACAAAAGAGCTGAACAAAACTGAACTGCCGCTAAACACGCTGTTGTAAGTAAGCTTAGCACCTCTAGACACACCACTCCATGCATTAATGCAAGCAACCATGTGACATGAGAACAAACCATAGTCAGAGGGGGACTCAGAACAAACAAAGTGATGATCATGTTGGCCAAAAAGACTTGACTTTGCTTCCAAATGCCTCTTACATATATTTTAAGGCCCAATCCCATTTCACCCCTTGCTCCTACCACTTAGCCCTTACCCCTCCGTTTCGCATGTTCACGCCTAGGGGGTAGGGTGTCCCAATTTTGTTGAGATAGAGGGATAGGGCGAAGTGTTAGGGCTACATGACCCTCCAAACGGAGGTTTTTCAGAGACACACTTCAAGTGGAGTGTCATGAGAAGAAAAGAAAAACTGGCAAGATGGCTGCACAAGAGACCAAAAAACCCACAAATGTGAGAATTTTCTCAGTTAAAAATGACAAAAACCACTGTATTATCTCAGTTTAATGTCATTTCAGTGTATTATGGTCTTTTCCTTCATAAGCATAAAAAATCACCAGCAGTACGCTGATGTCTCGGTAGCTAGCTAGCTAAATTTCCATTTAAGGTGGAATGGGAAAATTCGAATAAGAAACTGGCGAATAGCTGACTTCAGCTTCATATTGCTGAAGAATTAGGGTTGGGCCATAATAAATAATAGTCACATCCCCCCTTTTTGAAGGCATATGATTCCGTAAATTTAACTAAATATCATCAGTGAGGAGCTGAACTTCACCCTCCTCTGCTATCACTGCAGACTGGCAGGGTCACCTACAGAGCAGCGCTAGTAGCCTGATGATGATCTAATCACCTTTTTATTTGACAGTTGTCTCATTTCGTAAGGAAAGATTTCAACCACTGCCCCTTGTAACTCAGTTTTAAGGGGCAAGGTGACACTTAAAACAAGGGATAGGGGTAAAAATAAGAAATGGGATTGGGCCTTAGTACCAGATCAATCATAGTAATTACAAAGAGTGCAACAATTTCAATATATATTGAAAAATTGAATAAATTCATGTTCAAAACAGTGTAAGCAAATTTAAAACTGTATAGCAGATGTGGCCCTCAGTCTTATCCAGGTATCTCTGATTTGCCATCTTAAGTGTAAACTACTGTCAATACTCAAAAGTAGGCATATGGGTTCTTCCCATTTTATATTTTTATAGCTCAGTTGTACTCTTTTATAAGACCACAAATTTGCACACAAATATGACATGTTGCAACCATGGTAGTGTATAATTGGAGCTGTGCAGAAGCAAGACATTTTTAATGCATAAAATATTTTTTAAAAATCAAATCTTGACCCCTGAATCAAGTGCATAATTAAAAAGGTCTTAATGGTCACATATCCAGGAAAACTAAATTCCCCCTTTTTTTTAGTTTGAGGTAGCAGTCATATACCAAATTTTGGGCAGCCAAGATCAAATTACACATTGTGTTGAAGTGAAAAAGAAGTTACCACATCCTCTACAGAGAAGGCACTTCTGCACAATTACTATTTGTTTGTAATTTTACATAAAACAAAAAATATGAGCCCGGACATCACAATTCACAGGGCAGAGATCATTTACATATGTCAGTCTTAACAGCATAGTAAAAAACTGTTTAATTCTAAAGGACAAACGAGCTTGAATTGGTCATGGAAAAATGAATCATTGTTTTTGGTACCATAAACCCACACAAACATCACATATGAACCCCAGAGAAAATGAGGTCAGTTACGATTATTCTCTGGATAGAAAGCCTGCATTTTAAGCAGTTGCCACACCTAATTCAACTAACTTCCAAGTAATTTCAAGTTCCTGGGAAAACTGGGAAAAATCATGCAGTGCAAAGGGGCCCAAGCACTGGAACTGAACGCTTACTTTAGACACTTCAGACACAGAGTTCTTCCATTGCCTCTTGCTTTCGTGGCAGGGGAATCCCTTCCAATCAGGCATAATACAGTGGCACACATCCAAGATGTTTTTCTCCCATAAGGCACACAAAGTGTTGAATCACAGTTGGGGTGGGGAGAGGGGTGTTGGATGATGGTGGGGAAACACTGTGTGGAATTTATCAGCATGTCTGGCTGACCCTGAATAATACGTCATGTAAAGCCCACGTGCCGTCTCTAAAACTGGCGTGCCTGGCGCATAGCTTTAGAGCGGAATAATTCATAGTACCCAGGAGCCAAAGCTTTGAATGCAAGCACTAGGCAAACTCACATTCCTCCAGAACTTTTTCCATTGACCGCTGCAGGCCCCACAGCATATTCCAGGCAGGTCTATTGATCGCTGTTCAATATCCTCTGCAAGTTTACAAAGTTCTTGCCTTCCATTTGGTTTTGCACAAGATTGGTTTGGTGTGGCTGTTGAATCATCTGAACAGGGGGAAGGGAAGGGGGGGGCAAGGGTTCTTTTGACACCACTGCTCTCCCCCACTCTTCAATGCCGCATATCCAGACCTATTCAACACCCAGCACCACCACCCCCAGATAAGCTTTAATGGCTCTGAAGGGCATTATCACCACACAAAACAGGCTTTGTGTACGTTGAGTCTCTGTTAGTAATGTGATATACTGAAGAATCAAGCCCTTTCAATTAAGGTATTATTAAAGTTGGGGGCATGTAGAAACAACGTTAAAGCGTCTGGAGAGTCTATGCTGAAGAAGTAAACCACAGAACAGCTCTAAAATGACATCAGAACCACAAGAAACAGTTAGGACACGCATCCAAGAACCTCCAAAGCAGCTCCACGTGACAGTGGTGGCTCAAGAGGAATTCATGAGACGACCGAATACTTCGGTTGGGATTTAGGCTCTCCTAGACTTGATTTCAGCTATCTTGTGTGCCACAAGAATGTCTGGATCTGGTTATATATTAGAGAAAAAGACTTGACGACAGCGTTTAATACCATTTCTTCGTGCCAAAAAGGATTCTTTGGAGCAAGACTATCAAAGAATAACCCCTTTTGGTTTCTTTAAAAGCCTCTCAATGGATGGTTCTTCAAAAAATCACTTTTCTAAATACTTCTGTGTTCTGCGAAGACTTATAATGCAGGGATTTTTCTTAAAAACATACTTTCAAGCCATGAATTTAGAAATAAAGGCTAAGTGAAACAACCTGTCCACAGTTGCAATCTCCAAGACAACTCAAGTTGCAGTGTCCTGATGGATTCTGGAGAAGAGCTCTAGTGTAGGTCCCTTCCTAAGCAAGGTCACACGACTACAGCCTGACCCAGCACTCTTAATCTTCTCGTAATGTCTGTTAGCGTCACCTCTGACCTCAGCTTTCGGTGCCACTCGTGACAGACCTCACCTCAAACGCAGGCAGCACTTTGACGGTTTGTTCTTGTGTGCTAAAAGTAACGTTATAATGGTTATACTTACATTCACCCAATATCTGTGAAAGATTAGGTTTTCAAAATATGCTGATGAATTATGTAAAAGATGATGTGAAGAACCATTAACCTAAAATATTAATAATTTGGTTTTATTTCATATTTGAGGAACGTTTCTGAACTGTAAACATGAGGTGAGGGACAGTGGGAAACAGATTCTAACTGCATAACCTAGCAAAAAACTGAAGAGTGCAGCTAAAAATAGTGATGCTCAGGACTTTACAAAAGGACGAACGCACCACATCAAAAGCAAACATCCGCCAGCGATAAGACAGACGAGTATTTGTCATGTTCTCTGACAGAAAGTGTGATGCAAGGCGGTGTGAGGAAATCACACATGGTTGTTGCAGAAAGACGTGATGAACGGCAACAGCTTTCAAGAGCTACTGCTGAGCCAAATCTAGACCTGGTCAAAGCATTTATTTATTTATTGATTTTAGGCTTGCCAGTTAACAATAACTCATCAACTAATGATGGACGGTTATCGTTCACAAGAATTTGTCAAAATTTGAATCCCTACACTCTCAAAAAGATGGTTCTTCAAGGGATCTTTGGTAAAGACAGTGGTTCTGTATAGGATCATGAGCACTAAAAGAACCATTAGCATACTTAAATGATTTATAGGACCAAAAAGGGTTCTGCTATTATGACGATGTCAAGCTTGTAACAATAGAGGAAACTTTTTTCAAAAAGGTTCAGATTTTTGCCATTACAAGCAGGAAACAATTCAATTTAGAGTACACTTGTGCACTGAGCATGTGTGGACCGGTAGATGACCTCCTCTTCCAAGTCTCCAGTTTAACATCTGACCCCATGTGTGGTCTAATCAACTTTTTAAAAGAATATGCAAGTGTCCTTCCTCGTCTTTACTTCCTACTCTGGCTTTAAAAAGGGACTTTTCTCTCCCACACCTCGCCGTCCCTCTGCTATCAGATTCAGGTTCAGGAACTCGATCCGCCAGGACTGTTTGGCCTGAGGCTTCGCAGACGTCCCAGGAGACGAGCCCTCGGTTCTACTATGGACACACGATACGGGAAGACACTTATCAGGTCAAAAAAGAGAGAAATGCTACTGCTGCTGACCATTGGGGGAGGGCACCACCTCTCAGACGCTTTAGACTAGAATGCATTTGGGTTGGGATGAAAAAGTTAATCACACAATTAGGCTCAGCCACGTCTCTTCTGTTTCATTCGGTAGATTATCAAGAGACTTTTAATTAACTGTGTAAATAAAATACGTTTATAATCTGCTGAATTCAGCAGTTTTTCACTTTATTTGGAGTGTCCAACTTCATATCTGTAGATATTAACCTGAGAGGAACTGAACATCTAACAGGTTTAATAGTGACAAGCTGTTGAAGACACACTGACACCATTCTGTACCTGGAGCTTCACTGGATTAGGATTTGGTTAAGGTTAAGGTTAGGATTAGGTTTTGGGTTGAGGATAAGGTTAGGATTAGGGCCAGGGTGAGATTTAGGATTAGATTTTGGGTTAATGTTAAGGTTACAGTTAGGATTAGGCCAGGAAGAGGGTTAGGATTAGGTTTTAAATTGAGGTTAAGGGTAGGGTTAGGATTAGGGCCAAAGTTTGATTTAAGATTACGTTTTGGGTTGAGGATAAGGTTAGAGTTAGGATTAGGGCCAGTGTTAGGATTAGGATTAGGATTAGGTTTTGGGTTGAGGTTAAGGTTACAGTTAGGATTAGGGGCAGAGTGAGGTTTAGGCTTAGGGTTTGGGTTTATGTTAAGGTTACAGTTATGATTAGGGCCAGAGTGAGGGTTAGGATTAGGTTTTGGGTTTATGTTAAGATTACAGTTAAGATTAGGGCCAGGGTTTGGGTTAGGATTGGGTAAGGTTGAGTAAGGTTAGGTTTTGCTTGATGGAAGTAACATATTAAGTCTACTTTGCTTCATGCTACACAACAATACATCTACTTAGTGTAAGTAATGCATCAGCAGTACGTCTTCAACATATTTACTTCAATGTATTCAGAGGCTTCACGACTGCTAAGAGTTAAGAGTTTATTAATCATCTACAAAGGACCGCTCCAAATAAAGTGTTACCAGAGTAACTATTGCATTTCAACTAAAATAAAAAACTAAGGCTGTAATGGAGTGACAGTTTCAATCAAAAATCTGAAAAATAAATAGAAATCTGAAAATAAACCATTTCAAAACACTGTAATTATGAATATAATGATTTTTATTCAGTGTTTCACATAATAATTATGCTCCATTTTAATGAATAATGCAGCTGATCAGTTTAAGTATTGACAATATCCACAGTATGCTCAGAAAAGTGTGCTGTGGCGTACAGTAACATAATGTATAACAATACTTATTGCTTATAATACATATTGCTCCCTCCATCACCAGTGCAGTCTCTTCTGAGGGTCCCTCATTGTCACCTTTCATTAACATGAAAACATTTAAAGTAGTTTATTTAATAGTTAATGCCAGACAGTCAAGCTTTTGCGCATATCTTAATTATGCTTTTGTGATACGCTGTCTTTTCAATTTTGGGAAGGGGGATTAAAATGAAATATTATATAAGGTTTCATGTGATTAGTTTTTTGTATTGTTTATGTTGTAGTTGCACTGTTGTCAAGATCACAGTGTCGTATAAGAACATGCTGCTTTGCAAGCTTTTGTTTTTACCTCATTTACACCTACTTTTTATGTAATTTTTGAGTCAAACCACCAATCTGTGTAGTATACAATTAGTTGTCTGTACAATCAAAACATCTTAACCAATAAAACACTGAATCAGAACTAATAACTGAATTAAACATGAAAATATGTGACATGTTACAATCCTAAATAAATACCTAACAAGTCTACGACACAACAGGCTGACGGATGAAGTGCTGTTACGGTTTCAAAACAACTGCGACTAAGACAAGCTATTAAATGTGGATCGTCTGTTTCCCAGTGAATCAGATCGGTGCGTCCCAGGCTGTAAGTGTTGTGCTCTGAGGCTAATATTTAACTCCGATAACTGGGAAAAGGGAAGCGCTGCTGCTCCTTCATGACACACACAGCTCTATGAAGGGTAACTGGACATTATCATTCATAAGACACTACTGCTCTGTTCAAAGCAGTCAGATTAAAACTTTATCACTCTTTAATATTCAAAACACTCACAACTTCACAGCAGCGTCAGACGGCGTGTGGCAGAACGCAGCGCAGCAGCGACGAGACAGCAAGACGAGAAGAAGAAAATGAAGTAAAGGAGCACCAAAGAGAAAAAAAACTCACCAGTTTAACTTCAAAAGCTGTTTTTATTCCCCTGCAGTGATCAAATCCTCAGAACCGCTCCTCTCCCTCCGATAGCACTTCTCTAAACGTGACAACTGCTCTTAAGCTCAGTCCATCCTCACTGATTATCCCCTCCTCACCAACCAACCCCCCTTAAACTCTCTCTCTCTCATCTTCCCTCTCTCTCTCACACATCTTCCCTCCCTCTTTCTCTCTCTCTTTATCTCTCTCACTCACATCTTCCCTCCCTCTTTCTCACATCTTCCCTCCCTCTTTCTCGCTCTCACACATCTTCCCTCCCTCTTTCTCTCTCTCACTCACATCTTCCCTCCCTCTTTCTCTCACATCTTCCCTACCTTTCTTTTTCTCTTTATCTTTCTCACATACATCTTCCCTCCCTCTTTCTCTCTCTCTCTTTATCTCTCTTATTCACATCTTCCCTCCCTTTCTCTCTCTTTATCTCGCTCACTCACATCTTCCCTCCCTCTTTCTCTCTCCCAGTCCCTCTCTCTCTCTCTCTCTCATTTTCTTCCCTAATTTCTCCCTCTTTCTTTCCCTAATCCTGCTCCCTCTCTCGTTTCTCTCCCATTGGGTTCCGATCTTTTTCTTCTTTTCTTTCTTTATCTCATCCTCTTCTCCTCTCTCTCTCTTTCTTTTCCTTGATTTTTCCTGCTCTCCCATTCAACTTTCTCTCTCTCTCCCTCTCCATATTTCTTATCCTTTTCTCTTTCCTAATTTTCTCTCACTTTATCATCCTTTTCTATCTCTCACTCTTCCACGGAATATTAGATTTGACATTGTCTAGTTTCCTAAACAAACAGAAATCAGATGGAATCATGGTAGAGTCAGATTTACACCCATATACTGTACACACACACACACACACACACACACACACACACAGTGCCATCTCTACTCGCAGCCCAAACCCCCTCCCTCCCCCTCCCCTCCTCTAATTTGATAAGAGAACAGAGATGAGGCTGGACTGACCCGCAGCAGACTGAGGCCCTCATCAGAGCACGCCTCATTTTTAAACCATCTCCTGTTTCTGCAGCCTAAAGCCAGGTCAGCAAGGACACGGCTGCTGGCTACACTGACCTTTCCCATCACACTGACCATGCTCTGCTCAGGTGAACTCCCAACACCACCTGTTTTTACACACAGACCTGCCCAGTCGAGACGTTAGCAAACTTTTTTTCTGAAAGTTCTCATTTAGAAGTTCATTTTCAGTGTACTGATTCAAACATGTTGGCAGTTTCCACCTTTTTAAAAACGCCATCTGTGTCCATAAAGATTCAATCTGTTGTGTCGGATGGATTATTGTGATTTTTCGCTTTTGGCAGTTACCATTCAGCTCAGCGGATCCAAACTCAAGCAGATAACTATAAAGGTTAAGCATATGCTGTGCAAGAGAAAATGAAAATGAAAAAAAATCCACTTCTAATGAAGATCTAAATAAAGATACAGTGTAGAGCAGCGCAAACCCACTCAGTATACACACACACACCATGTAGAGGACTGTGCAAGCTGCTGGAGTTCTCAGAACAATGGACTGACCACCCCAGAGTCCAGACCTCAACAGCATTGACTGTGTTTGGCTTTATTTGGATTGTGTGAAGCAGAAAAAACAACTTCTAAGACTGAACTTTGGAGGTGTGGAAAAATATTCCTGCAGATTTATTTAAAAAACTGAAAGCGAGTCTCTTGAAAAGAATGGAAGCTGTAATGAAGACAAAGAGTCACAAACTAAGTATTGAGAAAAGTGATGTTATGTTCAGTTGAGGCTTCTATAATATAAAATCTGCTAAATATGTTTTCTGCTTGTTTTTTCATGCTGAAAATGAATAACCTGTACCTAATCCCTGTTTTGACTGGAAATATCAATGAACGGTGTTATGTGACTACTGCACCGTACACAGTACTGTATATATGGTAATACAGCAATGATAACTCAGCATAATAATACTGGCAGTATCACTAAGTAATCATATTGTTGTACAATCATAATGTAACCAACATTAATTAACCCTCTACTGCAGGCATTATGAGAGCAATTTAAAAAAAAATATTTGATTAATTTTTTAAACAATAATGTGTGCAGCGGTCCTTTTGGTGTATGTTGCCTTGAGGCAACATTGTGCAATAATGGGAAGAAATGATATAGAGCCGTGTTCTCTGAAGTGGTGAAACATGGCTTGTGACTGGCTAAATCCATTCCACCGTTGGACAACGTTGCATCTAGGCAACAAACATATTTCTGCAAATTCTCATAACAAAAACAAATGACACTGAATGTTAAAAAGATTTAAAAGTGTCCACTAAGAGATGGTATGACCAAGCACATGCTTTTTACTGACTTACTCAAACTTTGTCTTTTATTGTTAACCCTGTCATTGTTGTTGAATATGTATAATGTTATTGTAAAGTGAGGAAAATGGGTTAAAACTGCAACATTGCAACATCATGCAATAGAGGGTTAAAACTGACATCTAGGGGTTTTATTATTATTTCCATGACAAATTAACTTCTAATTAAATACGTTGCCCAAAGCTATAACACGTGTGTGTCCGGTTAAGGCCAGATTCTCTAATCTCCATTGATTAGCTTCAACACAATAAACAATAAGCAGCCTGTTCAGTGCTTTTATGGTAGCAATAATGGTTAATTATCTACACTAAAGTCTGTTCCAAAGTAAACAAGAAAGATAATGTTGAAACTCCCATCCACAAAGAAGACACTAACCATATGATATCTCAGTCAGTGAGGTCCACCCAGCCCAAACTGCGAGGAACATAATGACAGTGCTCCTGCTTTTAACTGCAGGGTCAATTCGGACGTTTACTATAATTAACATTAACATCAGGGCTGCAATGCCTGTTATAGGAACAGACTTTACTAAAGGCAAACATACAGTGTCCAGCTGTGGGTGTAAAGTGAGACCAGAGCGTCGGGTATCACAGGCTGCACATCTGTCTGGAGACAGAGGCTGGAGTCTGGCTGGAGCAGCTGCCTCTACTGCCCCGAGCCAGGGTGATTAACACCTCACTCACAGCTGGTGGGACACTAAATAGGCCACTGTTCTACTATAATATGTAACTCTAAAACACAAAATAACACAAAACACAAGGCCAAATTCAAAGAACATGGAATAAGCATCAACTGACAACTGGAAGAGTCAAGTGGCACAACTAACCTCACTTGTGAAATGTACAGTCGAGTGCAAAAGTTTGGTCAAATTACATGTTTTGTTGCTTTTCTAAGTAAAAATAAGTTCTCTACAAGCAACAAACTATAATATAGCATTTTTATACTCATTTTAGTTCAGAATGTGTAACATATTCTAAAAAAATGCACCAGAACTTTTGCATAAGCCTCATTTTATGTTTTATTTTTTCACATTATGTTAAATTCAGCAAATAAACAGTAACTGTGCATTAAAATGTGCAGACATGTTCTCTCTGGAGGATGTGTTAACTTATTTTACATTTTTTGCACATAAGCAAACTTGAATTTCATACTGAATATGTTCTTAAGTTCTCAGCATCTGCATACAAATAATTTCAATCTAACACCCTATAAATTCACATCCTCACCCTCTGTTCCCGTGACGAAGTGTTCGCAATCCCCACCGCCACCCCACCTCCTTCCTGTTCCTCAGTCTTTCGTCAATCCTACAACACCTATGAGGAGGGTCTGGCCTTCTAGCTACAGTCAGAAGCTGCCCAGAACTCCAGCCAAAGTTCTCAGAGATTCCCCCCTCCCTCAATCAGTCTTCACTCATACTACCACCACATGTTCCCGTGACGAAGTGTTTGCAATCCCCACCGCCACCCCACCTCCTTCCTGTTCCTCAGTCCTTCGTCAGTCCTACAACACCTATGAGGAGGGTCTGGCCTTCTAGCTACAGTCAGAAGCTGCCCAGAACTCCAGCCAAAGTTCTCAGAGATTCCCCCCTCCCTCAATCAGTCTTCACTCATACTACCACCACATGTTGAAGGCATGATCTGAACTCACAAAATTATATTAGACCTGAGAATACAAGCTGACTTTTAAGCTCCGCCCTTCTTTAAATGGTTTGCATATAACTGTTACCAGCAATGCTCATTATCCAAAAACAAGCTCAAAAGGTATTTGGATAAGATATTCGCCGGTAAACTTCGATGAAGCTCTTTATGTCACGTCATAAAATGTTTAACAGAATGACATTTGTTTCAGATAGAAAGCTTCAAACTGACGGGAGACTCTTTGTGTGAAGAAAGAATCTTAACCAGACTACATTAAGGCTGCTATAAAGCACAGAGGTGGAAAGGTCAGTTCTGGGACTGTTTGTCTTACAGCGGTGTTGGTGAGCTTGTGTTCACTGATGGGATCACGAACTCAGATGTGTACAAAGACATTTTGGATACAAACCTGCAAGAGTGTGGGGAAGGGTTTCCTAACACGATCAACTTAATGTATAAGTATGGCACAAATGTCCAAGCATTTTTGGGACCACTGTAGATATACTGACAAGGGTCAGGGATATTGGCTCATCAAAATTAGCCCAGTGCATTCTCTCCATAATGTCTGGTCTGCCAGGTCCTCAAGAAGAGCAACCTTTTTATAGCATTGTCCCTAACTTGTCCTTCATATACAAATAAATAGATAAATAAATAAACAAACAAATTAATAAATAACTCATCCAGCAGATTTTGCATTCTCTATCATTGCAACTTCTTGTTATGGTGATTAAACTTGTCATCTCTAAAAGGTCAGTATGTACTCATAGGAGCGCATGTTGATGGACCGTAACACACTCACAGTACCACTATCGAAGGTTTGTACATCAGGTTGGAACATCACTGGAGCTCATCACTGACTGGATCGTATAAAACTTTCTGTAGTTGAATAAAGATAAAACAGAGATTATTTTATTTGGGAATAGCAAAGAGAGGCAAAGACTAGCTGCCTATCTGGATTCAAGTGCCCTAAAATCTAAAGAACTAGTACGTAACGTTAGTGTTTCTAGCCCTTCTCCTCTGTAATGGTACTTTTTTTTTTATCCTAATTTAACGTTTAATTTTTAATTTAACTTTTAATTTAATAATTTTCTCTTTTAAATCTATTGTTATAATCATGTTTTTAATTTCTATTCTCCTTTACTTTTTTAAAACAACTGTATTTGTAAGGCACTCTGAATGACGGCAGTGTATGAAAGGTGCTACATAAATAAACTTGCCTTGCCTTGGAAGCTTGCG